AATAATCTGGGATCTGATTGTAGTAACAGTGCAAATTTTGGCGGGGGCTTACTAATTGCAATGATATTCCGAATACACTACGATTTTAAATTACATGATTTCGGGCCGTAAATCTCTTAAGGCACAAGGATACATAATCTCCTTGTTTTGGTATCACTTTTAATTATGGCACCGATTTCAGTAGTCCAAACCATATCTGATTTTGCTGTTGGGGGTTTTAAGCCGGTTGTGTGGTTGTGCTATCTATGTCTTGGCTTTTCTTTCATCTGTTTCAGTTATTAGGACTGTTAATGTTTCTTATTAGAGACCAGTTATTTAGCTTGTGACTTAATCGGGGACGTCCTGGCAAAGTACACAAATATCAAAAAAAGACAACTGGGATATTATGACTTATGGCTACAAATTGCTCTCTTCTTAGTAGTGCAATGTCATCAAATTAGGTTTCTCTCCTTTGCCATCTCCAATTCTATCATGTTTTGGTTAATTTTCCACTTCCACACTACCCTGACCTATTTTCCTTGGAAAACAGCATTTAAAAATCAATCCTATCACAAGCAAATCATTCAGAATCCCTGCTTGAATTTCTCGGAAAACATCAAACCCAAAAGCCCACCCTACTCTGCCGGGCCAAATTACCGTCATTAACCACTCCCTTACCCCCAGTTTTTCTATCCTTGATTTGACAACGTAACCCCAATCTATGAATTATAATTATTGAACGTACAGCTTAAGTTTATGAATCCACGAGCCATCAAATCTTTCCCATCATATGCTTTACCGGTATTCTTCTCCAATTTATACCTTTTTTTCTTTCCAAAGCAGTATTATTATGAAAGCTATTGTGGAAAACAAATAATATCGTGAGAAGTACATACTTGAGGAAAACATATTGGGATTCCTCCACGAATTGCCTTTGGAGGCTTAAATGTAGCCTGCACAAGTGCATAATATTAATAAAACAAGATGGATCAGAGTTAATAAACCTCATTGCTGGAGTTCAAATTTTCAAAATTATAATCACATTGATAGAGCATTCATATAATTTCAAAAACTCCAGTTACCCAAGAGAAAAAAGCTGTCCTTTGAGTGGAAAAAACTTACTGCTATTGAGCGAAGATTAATACAAGGGACTAACACATTTTATATTCGAAATTTTAAGCAAAATAGAAAGTAGAGACACTTGAACTTCCAAGTTAATATTGGGACACAAAACCTTTGGGTACATCCTCTAAAATACATAACCAAGAATGAATAGAACAGAAACAAGCATTAAATTAACAAATATTTGAAATCTCAAAATATATGACTCTTCAAAAATCATTTATAAGAATACTCGACATATTTAGATTAAGAAATAAACTCGAGTCAAACCATTTTCTTTCTAGAAATTTAATCATTTAGTGCCACTAGTTATTTGGCCTGAGTGATTATAAATTTATAATTATAATAAGAACCGGATAGTGTTCTCACAAGGAACAGAAAATCCCTACTGCAATGGAGAAAGGGGAGGGAGAGTAAATTGTAATGTCCTTTAGAAAACAAAACAAAGAATGTTGCTTAAGCTGGATAAGTTTAAGCCAATGATTATTGGTACAATTTACTTCCAGGAGAATACAACAAGACTTACATGTCCGTGTTCTATAAACCAGACAGAAGGGGTTGCAAATCCTTTCAGTTTGTAAAAACATTGACAACATTGATAAGATTATTTACCTATCTAGGATACCAGTTAAAGAAATATTTATCCTGATGTTGGCACTCACTTCATAAGAATCTAAAGGATCCGCATTCCACAATACAGGTCAATATATTTGGTTTTGACGACTATCAGAACATTAAATTTCTAGATAAACGTTGGTTCCTGTTGACTAAGCAACATTTCACAAAGCAATAATATTACAATCAACTTTTCTACATATATTTGGAAACAAATGAGACAAACATGCAGTTCACAAAGACAATAGAATGCCACCATCGAAGCCAAAGGATAACTTAAAAAGATACCGCTAGAAAATTTGTTTAGCCATCCAATTGATAAGCTTATCATGTTACCGCCTCTGTCATTCTCATTGAGCAGCTTAGATCAAACGAAGACCAGAAGTTCAGATCTTTGCAAAGATTAATCAAATTATGTGCGTCATATTTGCAGTAAAAAATAAAAGCATGTATTAAATAATATTGTAGTCATCAAATAATGCCTGGCAGTAGACCATTTCGGATTAATATTATACAAGCAAATTAAGATGCAGAACTTCAGAAGAATATTTAAGTTGTTCAGTTAAATCATGCACTTCACCTATGAAAATTTTCAGAGCGAACTAATATTTTGAACCTCATTGAGATCTAAAGTTTATCAGATATTTTTCCCGATCTTGACATGCAATGGAGGAAAATCAGTTTACTTAATTAACACGCCTGAGAACAAACTATGTTATATCCTGTACCTTACTACTGAGAAAAAGCAATTCCTCGGCATGCTCATTCTTCCAAGAAGTCACGTGACCGCCGTACAAGTACACCTGAAATGAAACGTAATCAGAGTCAACAATACCAGAACAAGCACAAGTCATTTGCAGTTTCAAAGCCGATGCAAAAGCAGCACGAACACCAAAAGCACATGCTCCTCTCGAAGATTTTATTTCACAGAAAAATAGCCTAAAAGCTAAATCAAATTGCTTCAGAACAGTCCTTACGATCAAAATTTTCTAGTTGATGACAAATCTCGATCCAAAACCAGCACTCTCCACCCGATAATGGCGACTAAACGCGACATGCCAAAACTAAAAATGACACAAATAATCCAAGCTAGACCGCAAAATAGAGAAACGGATCAAGCAGTATCTGCTCGAAATCAGAGGAAAACAAATAGATGCAGGTCAAGAATAAGGAAAAGGACCTCTGCGGAGCTACTACGAGCGTCGCGAAGAAGAACTTTGTCGAGACCATTGGTTCCCTTGCACAACTCGTAGCTACTTGAAGAAGAAGCTGATGAAAAAATCTTTTCGCTACTCATAGCTACTCGCTATTGCAAGCTCTTCCTCTGTTTCACCACCGCTACCACACATATATATATATATATATATAGTCACTCAGTCGCGATTTTCCAATTCTTTCTCAGACAACGGCGAGTGCGTCTCCTCAACTGCAATCTCTTCTCTCTCTTCCAAAATCCCTTCTTATTTTGATACTGTTATTGTTGAGTAAGGGAGCAATTCTAACAGTGACAGATTCATATCATATCATATTCAATATTTATTTGTATTAATCCAACAGTATATTCCGTAGTTTTCTTATTTGACAATTTGTAGACACTATTATAAGAAAGAGCAATGATAGAGGGAGGGAATATATAATACGGAGATATCCCAATGACGTAACAGGTGTTGAGGTGCATGTGTATCAAACATTTTTCTACGTCATTATCTTTGTAATGAGATACTATCGTAACCACTTACGGCACCCCCAATCTATAGTCAACCTGACTCTTTTCGGACTTGTAGGCGACTCTTTTCGGACTTGTAGGCTTGCGTATGCGCAAAAGGGTACACCTTTTGTAATTATGCGTTTCTATCCATTTTCACACCTGTATCTGGAGTTTGGCCATTAAATCTTTTACATTTATTTTTTATTTTTGTTATCTCTTTTTTGTTATATATATTATACTATTTTTCATATCTCATTTTCTTTTTATTTTTATCTTTTTTTTAGTCTTTAAAACCCGATTCGATGGATGTGAAAACACATGAAAGTTTTATTATTTAATTAGGTTTTTAGTTTTTCAAAAATTGTGATGTTTCTAATTTTTAATTTATTTTTTAAAAACCAAGTCATTTATAGGAAATTTTTTAATTAATCCTTTTTTTTTTAGTTTAATCTCTGTAAATATTGTAAATTTTTTATTTGATCCTCTTAAAATGAGAGATTAAATAAAAAAATCTGTAATATTAAAGGAACCAAATAAAATAAATAAATAAAAGACAACATTTTGTAAAAAATAATTTATGGGAAATTCGTCTTAAAAAACTAAATATAAGAGACTGTATAATAAGCCTATTTTTTTAGAAACTAAAAGCTTTATTAAGCCTTTTTTTTTTAATTTCTAGAGTAATTCAACTTCAAAAAATGGTTATATACATTTACAAAATACGTACATTTAATGAGAGCTAAAAAGCGGAGGGCAAGATGAGTAATATGATAAGACAAAAAAATTGAGGTATAAAATAGAAAAAGGATACAAGTATTACGTATGGAAATAAAATTTAATTAAAATGTGTTAACGGTATAAATACTTTTTACATTATTTTCTAATTATAACATTATGTCAATGAGAATAAAATTTTTTATAATAATTAATTTAAAAGTCATAATTATCATATATAATAGCTTCATCAAAACTCTTCTTTGTAGATCCTTACAACAAAGGTAGCAAAAAGAAGCAAGTGGACAAGAAAAAGATTTTTTCTTCGCTTCTACTGCCCATATGCTTGAACGTTCATATACGAGCAAGAAAAATGTTGACATAAACAAGAAGAATTTGCAAGAAAGTAAGAAAAAAAATAAATAAAAGAATCACACTTTTATTTCCAAAATAAATAACGAGCTGAGTGGCTTTTACACTGCTGTACAATACTCAATTATCAATACAAACTATTGCTTCCGCAAAACAATTTTGAATGAAAAAATGATAACTAGAAACACAAAACCCTATAAGATTATGACCAAGCAGCTCTCAACAAAGAACCTAAACACGAACCACTTCAAAGAAAAATCTTTACTTTCTTCATCATGAAAAGCTTATTGGGAGCAGAAGCAGCTATGTTAAAAAAAACACCGATGCTTGTCCCTTTCACTTTCATATGTTCAATTTCTACTGCAAAACAGATAGCAAGCTCCCTGAGCTATAAAACAAGATAATAATGTCAAGGAAAAAATGAGTAAGCCATATTCCTTCTACCTGCAACTTGAAATGCACGGAGCAGACAGAAGGCGTACTTTCAGACTTAGAACAACTGAACGGCCATTTTGAGTTTGTTCTGTTTCCATTTTGGCAACTTGTAAAATTCATTCTTATCCATCCCTAATTTCTCTTGGAACTCTGCAGAGGACAGATAAACCTGTATACATGAAGCTCAAAAGAGTTAGAACTAAAATGAAATAAAGGTTGATTATAGGATGCAATTTGCAATGAAGGACAGACAACAAAAAAATGAGAAGACAAGATGATCTATATAGACATTTTCATCATACCTCTCGTCTAGTCACGTCAATATCTGCTACAGGATCTGTAGAAGCTGTGTTAATGCGTTCATATGGGTAAATTGGGAGACCTTCATCATCTTCAGCTTCACCCTCTTTTACATCTTCATGTATAGTAAGAGATTCTATTCTGCTGCTCATAGAATCTTCCTTGACATTTGTCTCGGGGTTTGATTTCTGGGTAGCTGAACTCGCATCATAACAATGACAAAAGGCATTCTGCATTAGAGCATATTCTAATACTAACATCAAATCTCAGTGCACTCATCTACTGCATACCTCTTAGTGACCTAGGAATCAAATTTTCTCGTGCTGAATGTAGTTCAAAACTTGAACTAAGACGAGCTATGGCTGAAGATTTAGGTGCCAGTTTTGATGTATCTGGTGTCATTGATTTTGGGTACAGTTTTCTAATCATTGGAGGTGGAGTTGAAAGGTTCCTAACACCTGGGTTCTCAAAATTTGCTGCCAGTGCATTAAAGGCTGGAGATCTGCCCCTCACACGAACACGATCAGGACTGACGGACATGCTGCGGGAACGCTGGGATTTATCTGGCACACCACCAACCCTTCCCCCATAAGATACCGATGCTCTTCGTTTATGTTTCTGATGAAGTATCAGATATTCAATAACCAAGCAGATAATGCAAATACAAACAAAATATTAACGGCAAGACCCAGTACTTAAGGCGGAGAAAATTAATAGATGAAGTACATTAAATCTGAGGGAGTGAAACACTTGTCGTGAAGAGCACAGAAGAGTATAGTTTTTAATATCTATATCACGTCATTTGATCTTTTGCCAACTCTGACCCCTGTCCACCCCCTATGAAGAATCTCCACCAAGATCGCACCCTTGAATTCAATACTAAGATCATATTCTCTTCAGTCAACCCAGTCCAGTTCATTTTCTAACTTGCCTAATTTTATTAAATGGAAAACAAACAACGCATATTTACAAGTTTCTTGAAGCTATAATATGAGATTAGGCAGCAATTCATTGTGGAAAAGCTGCTGTTTCTTAGTATTATATCATTTATTTCCTACATTGCCTCTTGGCTGACGCATTTCAAATGCTTACGCCGTATCTGTTTATTTATTTATTATTAGTAGCAGTAGTTTTACCAAGGTATCCCAGCACACACTGTGGTAACATTTTGGCAAGTGGGGAGGTCCTTCCTACAATTGTCTTCTCCAAATTTGAACTTTGACTCTCTCCATGGGAGTAGGATAGGGACATGTCGAGAAATTTTGAGACTAGGCAAAATTTATGTCTTATGTATGCCTAGTCTAATATAATTCATTAATTTTTTATTTTGTTTTTCTATATTTCTAAGCCGAAGAGTAATTGATTAAAAATTTTATAATCAAATATATCTAACATTTCACTTAATAAATAACGTGACTAATTCATCCAATTTGTCTTCAAGCATAGTTGATCCTAAATAGGATTTAAGTAATTTAATTTTAGAAACTTCTTTTAGTAGTGATAACAGTTACAAGTATTATTAATAATACTTTATACAACAATGCATGCATTTGAAAAAGAATTTAATCTTTAGATATGGTTTAATATTTCTAATCTGGTATTAATTTCTTTTGTTAACACTTATTTCAAAATTTTTATTTCTAAAAATAAATCAAGACCGTTAATATCAAGTTCAATATAATTTTTTTAATTCATTCCCATCCAAAGTTTTTAGTATTTGTAATTCAAATAAAAAAAACAATAGAGGAAGGAGAAATAATTGGAATATTAGATAGTTAAGTGTGCATTTAATTTAACTTATTTTGGAGAAATAGCGTTTTTACCTTCTTCTTAGGAGATATATTGATTTTTTTTTTTCAAAATTAAGCTAAAAGAAATATGAGCTAAGAAGTTTTGTGATAAATAGTTAGAAAAGAATAACTAGACTACAAAAATTATAGTCATGAGGATAGTGATTTATAAATGAAATTGAAAGTTTGATAGTAATTACTAAGCTGATGTTAAATTTAGTTTAAATATACATACAAAACACACACACAAAAAATCAATAACAATTATAACTTAAAAATTAAAATAGAAAAGAAAATAAGTATATAAGTTTTTTCTACTAGGCCTTTAAGTGATTGTGAGCCTCAGACGGATGCCTAATTGACCTAATGTGCACGGTCCTCCCTGGCAGGGCAACTCACTTACGACCATGTTCAACCCGTTGATAATATATTTTTATATTTATAGATTTGGCACTAAGTAAGCTCCCAAAGTCTATTAATCATTTTCGCCAAAATTAGCTCTATCAATGAAAAAAAATATTAGGAACATATTTTTTAACATTAAAATTTATTTAAAACTACAATTATATAAATTCTATATTTTTTATTCTTAATTTAATTTTTTTATAATTTTTAATTTTCAATTAATTTTAACTAATAACTTAAAATACTTTAGAAAACGTGTTTCTAGTTCTCACTTTGCTGTGAATTGCTACTTCTAAATTTCATTCATTAGTGTACCTATAGTGACTGCGAATAAAATTGGGTTTGAAAAGTTCCTTTAGGTAGAAGCATTATTTCACTCCTTAAACTGTTAAAAAGGTACAATGGATAAATCAAAAGTGAAATTCGTTTGGAAGGGTGGTAGGGTGGGTGGAGACAGAATTCTCTGTAGGGTAAAATTATGTCACTCGTAACACTTATCAAAGACTAAAATAGTTCACTTCGATTACTCATCATTCTTCAAAAAGCAATCATTCAAGATTATAAAGGAAGAAAAGAAAAGATGACTTACAACCAAAAGTGGCGTACCCCCATTTTTCACAATTGCAAGCTTCCTTTGAAATGAGTTTCCTAGCATCTACCAAAAACAAGGAATTATTAGTAGTCAAAATTCTAAGACTATTTGAATTCATATATGTAGATATTCTATTGGATTGAAAAACTTACTGCAGATTTTGCAGAGTCCCATTTAAAGAAGCGAGTGAAGAAAGGTGGCTCACTACCTTCCATGACAATATATATTGGAGTTTCACGAGATAGTGTTTCTAGAAGAAAATCATGCTCAAGAAATTTCTGTATAATTCCGAGGAATAAGTTAAGAACTGCACACCTGATTTCAGAAATACTTACATGTAAAAGACATTGAAAACGCTTAATGGTAGAAGAGTTGTAAGAAGTTTGATTTATAACGAACTCTTCAAAACACTAAACTACTACTCGATAAATTAAATTATTATTTTATAGCTTCCAGGAAAAGCAAAGCCAGTTATACCTCACCAATTGTTAGAGCCTGCATTCTACTCTTTGAGTCAACCTGCTGGCCAACCCAGACAAAGATTTCAGAGTGACAATCCAAGATGAAAATATCTTCTGTCATCAAATCATCCTGTGAAAAGTTGTATATCTCTGTGACCTGCAACCATTGCTTCATATTAATGCATTGCAGCAGAATAAATCCAAATTCCAAATATTTGCATCTTCATAAGTAAAGCATAAGACATAGCAGTAACTTTTCTTTTTCTGGGATAAAATTACACCACAGTAAATTCACCCTCAAGACTTCATATCTTAAATTCATCTTTAGTTATTAGAAAAGTGATCGCTAACACATTGGCCAGTTTTTCTGCCAGCATTCTACACCCAGAGGAAGTCTTTAGAGGAAGCCAAGACAACCTTAACCGCTTTACAGAAAGATTATGTCCTAGGTCCTAACACGATGCATTCCCGCTGATCCTTATGCCATTTAGTTATTTTGAGTTTGACTTACACCTTTGCTGTCTGTGTCACCAACTTTTCCGTTAAGTGTTTAATTATATCCCATTGCATCTAATTAAGCGATAAGACGTATAATGTCATTATAATTACTTAATGAAACCCCAAGAATGCATCTTTCCAGCCTCAGTTGATTAAGAGTAAAGAAGACGTTGACAGAAGTGTATTCCAAAACTGTTTTGTAGCTTTTCATTGCTCATCATTTTTTATGTTTTTCCTATATTTATCAGTTTGATCAAACTAGTTTGTTTACAGTCCTATTGAACCACTGAGAACTTGTGCTGAAAATGGATTGTGTGATTGGGCCTTTTACATGAGGGGCAGCTTAACCGTTAACATGTTATAAATGAAATATTGACACAGCCAAGAACTTCTTTAACATGCCTTCACATCATGGAATTACCATAACTCAGAATATTCCAAAAGCATGCATATCAACAGATCAGTGGATGTACACACCTTTAAATTTCCTGCACGTTGGTCAATCAGGCATGGAAAAGAAGCCATCACAAACAAGTCAGCCATTTGCCTTCAAGAAGAGAGGGGACTGGGGAAGGAGATCAGATAAACCTTCCAGTTAACAAGAAAATAGTCCTTACCTTCTGAGAAGTAGCAAGAAAATAGGTGAGGGTCATTTTCATCATCCCTCACAATCTTTTGACTGGGATATTCTGATTTCCCTCCTAACAAATCCCAAAAATGTTCAGATTCTGCACCTTCCTTTTGCGGTCTGCATTGAAAATCTGGCTGCAGATAGTTGGCAAGCATATGAATTGATTAATAAACAGTGATATATATATATATATATATATATATATATATATATATATATATATATATATATGGCTTGGATGAAATGGCACCGGCTGGGATCAAACCCAGAACACAAAAGAGGCAATTCCACGTAGCCCAAAGGCACGTTTGGCAATAACCAGTATTAACCATTTTCAACAAGCTCACAAATATAATCTCCACTTTTAGCCGCTTGTGCAACATGAATATGTTGACCAAAACCTTTTGGTCTTTGTTTGGACGAATAAAAAATTTCAGATTTAGTATATTTTTTAACATAACAGACCTTTATCAAATCCAGCATTCTCTCAACAAGATCCTGGTCATCTGAAGTCGTTAAACTTCCGGACCAAATAAAAACAGTAGGCCCACTGTGAAGTATGTAGCAATAAGAGGAATTCAAGGAGGAAGTAACCTGGTTGACAAAAGGAATGCAAAAAGAAAATTTGTGATTATTTAAATGAAGTTATACTATTCATTAAAAAAAAAGTTTAAATTTCCCATACAAAATGAGTGGATAGAGATGGGCACTATAAGCAGACAAGATGACATACTGGTTCCACTTGTATAGCTTGCATATTGTCTGGTCCAGAGCCCTGAATGCGAAATAATGCAACACCATCCTCAGTGTATGTCTCATCTGGAATTTCCTTCTCCGCAACATAATTCTTGTATCCATCACTAAGTCCACCCTGACAGACAATTGAAATAAATGACCGGTATTAAAGAAAAAATAATTACATAAATAAAATGAAGATTTTCTTAGTTAACGAAACATCAAAATCCAACAAACCTTAAAAACAATAAAGCTCTGGAGGATCGCATGAAATTGAATTGGTTCACTGCCTTCATATATACAAGCCTTCAATCATACATGGACAACGTCACTAAGGATATAAGCAACGAGCGCAAATAAGCTCTCAACAAATTGAAAACAACAACATATTCGAAGAAAAATTACCTGGGAAGGAATAAACTTCATTGACTCAACCATTTTGCTTGCTAGTGAAAGACCAGAAGCTCTCTCCTCCTAATTTCAACAAAGAAAGCTTGTAAGGAATTTAGGCTAACACATTTATTCAACACTTTCTAGTCCCAAAAGAGTTACCAATGTTGTGTACAGTGTAATGAAATATATATATATATATATATGCGCTATGATTCACTAATATAATTTTTAGCTCCAGGTGAATATTTTGCCATAAGATTTTTCAGCTTTTTTACTTGAAATAAATCATTATAAGCACATGTGCAAGAAGAACGTGAATAAAACTACAAATTTTTCACCTCAACGCTAGTCTTTCCAATCCATGTTCCTACAAGATATTCTTCCTTATCATCTCCAGGATATGAATATTGAAAGATGTAGCAATCTCCACTATAAAATTTTGACTGATCAGCGGCTGGAAGAAGAATCTTTTCTTGACCATTCACACGCCAAACCTGTGGTTATGGTTAAGTTCTTGTTAACAACAGAAACAATTAAACAAAAGAAAAGTCTAGTACACTCAAATCACAATCAGTCTACTCAAACAGACATATTAAATTCTCATGTGATACTATCTATCAAATGTTTATGAAAAAATACAAAATGCTGGCCAACATATCAACTACAACCATTCATAAAACTCTGGAAACCACTTTCACTTGTTACCTCAAGTCTCAATCATAATTTCAATGTAAATTAAGGCGTGTAAAAGGGGTTGGTAGTGCAGCAGTTAGGCCATTGTCCTAAGATATGGAAGGTTTATTCCAGAAAGGGGGAAAAGGGACACGTGGAGCCATGGAGGACAGAAAGAGGGATAGATCATTATGCTAAATGGAAGCATGTGGGGGACCCACAAGGAGGTGTGCAGATTTAGAGGAGGTTATGATTAGGATTTAGGAGAGAAACAAGAGGGAGAATTTCTGGAAAAAGCTTGGATCTGTCAAGGGAAGTAGAATTCCATAGTCTGTTTTCTCCTTTCATCTTTGGATAAATTTAAAATTTGGTCCTTATATTTGATGCTATTTGTTTCTGTCCTTACATGAAAAAGTCTATATTTTGTTCCCACTTATATGAAAATATGTTTACAAAATTGTCCTTATCATTTGCCGAAATTATAACAAAATTAGATATTTATTGAGTTAACAAACATTTGTTTTAGTTAGTCCATGTGTAACAAACGTTTGTCAATGCAGCAAACATCTAATACCAATATGACTTAATCAAACAGTAGGACCTATTTGTAAACAATTTTTCATGTAAAAACCAAAATGTAGAGCTTTTCATGTAAGGATTAAAACAAAAAAGGATATCAAATATGGAGACCAAATCTTTAATTTAACCTATATCTTTTCTAGATTCTTTACTTTTATTTTTTATATACATGAAAGGTTACATATCAAACATTTTCCATCATCATTTTTAATAGTTAAATGCACATAGATCACTCAGTGTGATCTTGCTGATTTGCATTATTCTCCATTGAATAATTACACCCTACATACCGCAATGTGAGAAATCCTTGGAGTCTCTGGTGCAAAAGGATATTATGTGAGGAACTTCCTAGTCTTCAATAATGTTTTTAGGACAAATCAATTATTCTTTAGTCTCTTCCATCATCCAAATATTAGTTGCCTTAACAGACATGATGATTTAACATGTTAAAGTTATTTAGATATGAAACATGAAATTTAATGATGATAGGTGATGTGAAGTAGTTAGGAGTCTGTAATTTTTTTCAAAATTTTTTAGTTTGGTTCTAAAAAAATTTCAATTAATTAAATTGTCCCTCGATTCCTATATCTTTTTAATTTATTCTTCTTCTTTACAATGCACACGAATAATAGAAGGGTTTCGTAATCTCAAAAACTAAATTGCATAACTCTGCTAATTTCAAAGATTATTTTGTAGGTTCATGCATACCTTAATGAGTAGAAAACTATAAATTATAGGACAAAAATCTATGAGTGAAAAATATAGGACTTGAACCAAAGCCTAAATTAGTGAAAATATAAGCATCAAGATCCAATAGACTCTAGGAATCAAAGACAAATGGATATAAGTTATATGAACCAAAATATTATTTAAATCAACGGTTTTTCCAATTTGTAGCTTAGGGCATGCAATAAAAAACCTACACATATAAATTTTATTAAAAGTCATAGGATTCCAATGCATTGAGAATATTAAATGTTATAATTTTTAATAGAAAATTACTATTTATTGACATCTTATTGTATGCCCTTGAGTACACATCGAAGAAAATGTTAATAAAAAAAATGATAATAATCTGTAAACAACTAATAATTAGCTGATAAAATCAGAAAGTAAACTATGGATGACAGATTTCATATTTATGCATCCAATTTGTGTAGGAAGTGTGGTGATGGCTATTCTACATTAAATCACTTCCCTAAATCTATATTCATTTCTCACAGAAAATGTTAAGCATCTACTCAACTTGATCTAAAGCAATGTGGAGTAGTCTAAGAAACTAAGTTTCACATATTTCAATAACACGACCATCTTTGGAATGGGAGACTGATGGAGTAATAAGAATACAGCGATTGTGGTTCCAAAAGATTCTCTTATTATATGAAATCAACTAGATAGGGATGTAAGACCATTGAAAAGTTGAAGGTAATACAAATTAGTAGAGTACCTGCAAATGTCCTGTGCAATCTATGTAGGGCTGAGGTTCTTCTTTTACTGGCTCAGCTTTCAAGAGACCCTTGACATCCAATCCTTGACGTTTTAGAAGTGCTACACAGCCATAAACAAGACACAGAATTAGCAGAACATAAAGACAACCTGGCAAATGATGCTGACGAAACCAATGTAAAAAAGGTGGAGAAACACATTCAGGACAATGACAACTCTAAAATTTGTTTAAAACTACCTGCTACCTTGCCACGACCATCTTCAGACATTGTTACATGAGCTGCCTGGGGCCAAGAATCAAACTTGGACCTAAACATTACTGTTTCAAATCCTTCAATTACACGAATTATTTGGGACTTTGGTCGACTAGTGACACTGACTAACTCCTGTTTTCCGGTCAACAGAAATTCAAGAATCATTCAAACTCAGAGAAAAATGCTCAACAATACTAGGAAAGAAACGAGAGATGTTACATCTGCAGTTCCACTTGCACTTTTTCTTTCATCCAGAGATGTGCTTCTTCCCATCCAGGCAAACACTTCCAACCCACAATCGAGAATATAGCATTTGTTTGTGTCCAGTAAATCCTTTGTCAAAGAGTCGGTTTCAATAGGTTCTGCCTTCCCCTTTTCCACACTGGAAAAAGTGATATTTCATTATAAGTAGAGCATCGGAGAATCTTATGTTTCAATATAAGAAATATTTACCATCCGTATAGTTGTCACAATAATTAGCATATTTCAAATCCTCGGAATTATTAATTTATACAACTTTAGGCTAAAAGAATAGTAAATTTCTAACAGTCATTACATTGTTAAACAACATAAGTTTGTAGATGAAGGGGAATAAAAACAATTGGCGATGGAGGGAAATTAAAAATATATTCAAGCATCAGTGAATTGCATCGAAATATCATTTTGGTAAAAAAAAGAAAGGAATAAGCTGACTGTGCAAATACAAATGAAAATACCAGTGCGCAAACTGAAACAACATATTACCAAAGTAGCTTTGGAGGGTGAGAATCAGTAAGCTTATCATCATCACTGACTGTTTTCCGTGGAAGAGGAGCAAAGCCCCCAAAGCAACCCCAGAATTCTCCGGTTTCAGAATCAGCCATCAACTTTCCATCCTCTGAATGGAAATTCAAGTGCATATACACCCAATTAGTGATATAAAGCAATAATTGTTAAAACTGTAAAATATACTTGTCCACTTACCAATAGCAGCTATCTCACATTTTCCATCGTGGTAGGTATCCTTAATATACTGTACAACTTCCAAAGCTTTAGCCCTTTCTTGAATACTTGAATTGGAACCATTAAATTGGAAGATTTTGGACTCAGTATCCAGAATAAAAACATCATCATGGTTGAGTGATGATCGAACAAAAGGAACCTATAAACAACACAAATAGATAATCAACTAGAAGAAAGTAATGTTTATAAACATGTGTTGGGGTCTGTATACAGTATGCACAATAATAATATACAACTATACAAGACTCAAACCTCAATGAGTCAATTGGCAGAAGAATAGTGTCAAACTTGCCTCTTTGACATGTACAACATGTTTCCCTTTGCATACAAACAACCGTGTCTTATGTTGTTCAGCCTCAACGTGTTTAAAACCTGAGGCAACTCCACCTTCTTGAGGTATGATACATGGTTTAAAATAAGATAGGAATTTTTCAGTTTCATGACCCTGCACTTCACGATACTGAACAGCCCGTCCTCCTAAAGCTGCATCCAACTCAACTGTCTTGATGGCTGCAACACCAGCTTCATCCTTTTTTATAGTTATGATCATCAGTGAGCAAACAAACAGAAGGAAACTAAATGGAATATTAAACCAAAGGCAGTTGGAAGGAATAATGATTTATAATCAGCAAAAGTTACCTGACTGGTGTCTTTACCAAGCCAGTAATGGATATCATGACGCAGACCACTTTTTGAAGTAGTTGACTGCATGGAGAAAATAAGAAAAAAGAAAAGATTGATATTGATGAAAGACATTGCTGCATACATGATGCAGGAACAACAGAAATTTATGAAAAGTGAAAAATACTAGATTAACAATTATCCACAAAAATCAAATAACAAAAAATAACGTAAATCCAACAAAAAGATGTTATGCCAAGGAATATATTGAGATTGAAATGAGGATCTCATAAATTTAATTTTCAACAAGAGGAAAATAAATCTTACGGGAAAGAAGACAACAATCTCTTTTTAGAGAAACTCACGTCCAAATACATTTTACAGAAAATAATAAATTTCTTGAATGCATACAAATCATTTTTTCAACCATTCTGTACCAAAAGTTCAAAACTGGAAGCAAAAGTTCCTATTAAAGGTAAGGTACAGCTGGCTCAGACGGCCAGATTCCTACACAAACTCTCCGGTTAAAACATAGGGTCCCTTTCTTGTATTGTTTTATCTGTTAATACACATCAACTAATCAAAAGACTTGATTGGGTAAATATCTAGGCTTCAAGTTTTTCCATCTTATATATGTTACCAGTCCCTCTAGCTGAAATTGGAATAACGCTGAGTTGATAACTATCCCAAGAGGAACAAAACAATGACAAGCATAAGCATGCTCACATTTTAGTTCAGCAAATGGTTCCTGAATATCAACATCTGAGTGTTTATACTTAGTAAGGCTAGATAACCAGAATTTATCAACACGATAAAATTAGGTAGCATTATTATTGACCATTAGATGAATTAATGTTCTCCATCACTTTAATGTCTTATAGAACAAGGCAACGACCACCCTTGAATCTGACTAAATTCAGGATAGATTTTGTCAAAAAATAATAATAATTCTGACCGAGTAGCATTATTCTTATGCTAAAACCCAGAGCTGTTACAATGTGAAATGTTACAATATGAATCCGTAAAACAAGTTGATTAGGTTACCAAAAGCAAGATATATAAACACAGCTGTCGTATAAAACTTCACACACGACTCTCCCTAGAGACCATAAAAGTGGGAGCTTTATGCACTGGACCTAATTATTAACATGAACCGTGGCATTGTTTTCACATCTTCAGATCTTAAAAGCATAGAGTTTTCATGATGAATGTTTTCAAAGAAAAATGAACTAGACCAGAATCAACCTCATATGGTATTGCATACCAACACAATTGGTCATGATGGGAACAATAGGCAAAGTTTTAAGATTACAATCTCCATATAATTCAACAGCAATAAACATAAATACAAGCTTCTTCAACAAGGTTTATTTACGTGAGGCCAGCATTCTATGAGCGACTAATCATTTCGAAAATATTGCTTACCTTCAAGATTACATAGGAGTCCCCGGTGAAAAACTTTCCATAAGAAGACTGAGGGACGGGAACCGGATTAAAATTCTCAATACGCCATATTTCAAGAGCACTGTTTATGGTTAAGGAGAATAATGCAGAAGCACTAGAAAAAGTATATGCATAAAGTCGATCCAAACTTAGAGCCGAACCAAATGAAGCATCAACCTTGAATGAATTATGTCAGGAGGAAAATATGATAATTGTGAACAGCAGAATATAGCATATTATTGTCAGTTAATGCAGGATACGCCTTTTGTCCAGCTCCCTTGAAAGCTGGATCCAAATCTCTCATAGAAACGGCCATACTGCTCTTCAACTATTTGGTCTTCCACAACTTAGCTTGATTATAGGAAACAGTTACCCTGAAAAGAAGTCCCGTAGAAAGGTAAGCTCTAACTCCTCTTAGTGATCTATGGTAGATGAAAAAGTAAATATAAATGCTTCCCCTAACTCTTTTCAAGTAGGAAAATCTGGCTCAGAATAAATTGATTTACGGAAGGTTATATCATTAATTGATAAAACAGTAAGGCTGGCTAAATTATGAGTTTTATGCTGGTAAATGAACTATTTTTTACTAAGATACAATAAAAACCACCTGACTTCAATTATCCCCATCATAAAACACATTAAGTTCTACATTCGCACAAATAATTTTCAGATCCATCTTCAGCTAATGTTAATTGGCACATTACGGTCAAACACTCTGCGCGCTGCATCCTTCACCATCACTAATATAACCTCCTTACCTTCAAATATATCTACTTAAATGAAAATTTGGTTACCTTTTTTGCATTGAAATCCCAATTAGGAGTTTAAAAGAGGAAGGAACGAAAGAATAAGGAAAAACTTGCTGCTGCTGCTGCTTGTAGAACAACAGCCATGTCCTATATCCCGTAAGCATAAGGCTAAATGTCAAGGGTTCGAATCCAACCACCCCTTTTCTCTTTCGATTTTCTTACCTCAGTTTTTGAATGGAAATTGCATTTTCAATGATCATATATGACTTGGCGTTAAAGCTAAGTAGCTAACTGACTGCTTTCGTTCTAGAGCATAAGCACAAAACACACACCCACACAAATATATACTCACAGGTGCATCATGCATGCAGTAAAAAAAATGTACAGAATTTCCCTAAAACACGCAATCCCTAAAAAATGAAGAGAGAGAAGTTCACTTTAAACAAGGCCTAGTAATAGTAATTTTGGGAAACTTGTCAGCTAATATCAACTAAAGAAAGGGAAAATGCCTGCAAATATATAAACTCATATGCAATAAATCTCCGAATCAATCATTGCACGTCTAAATAAGTCACGACAAGCTAATATGCGCAAACATAAAAAATAATGCAGCGATTTTCAAACTTGATGTCGTCAATTTAAACATCAGACAAATCACAAAACGAATAAAAATTAAGCAAAATCCAGAAAAAGCTTATAAGCACATAAAACCAGTAAAACAAACAACAATGAATCGCATTCCAGATTCCAAGCCTCATTCCCGGAATTTCCAAAATTCAAGGATCCGAGAAGAAAACAAAACCGACGCCGGGGAAGCAAAACGAATAGAAAAGGAAAATTCAGGCATTAAATTAAAATCAATTAAACTTCATTGAGAGAAGTCTCTGTCCTCAGGTTCCATAATTTTCTGTTCTTCATTAATGTTCAACCGAAGATTATCATCAGTATCTAATTTCATTGAGAATTTCGAGTGGATTGAATAGTTGTAAATGAAACACAATTTCAAAATAATAAGAGCGTGAAATGAATTTCAAATTGTGAGGGAGAGGTGAAACAATGAACACAAGTACCTTCTCACCGATCACCTACGCGAGAAATTTCATTCTCCTCTTTGATTTTAGCGGGTAAAAAAAAATAAATGGCGAAGATGCATGTGTGAACGAGTGTGTTTATTTTGCAACTTCTATTTCTACAATTCGGTTCTGGGTTTTTTTTGTTTGTTTGTTTTTTTGGGCTGGTGAAATTGAATTTTGTTATTTTTATTTGATTTAGTTATTTTAATTTTGAGGAGAAGAGAGGTGCGAGAAAGACTTGTGAATGGCTGGTAAAGGAGGAAGCTGACCTCCGCATTGTGAGGAGTAGACGCGAAGAAGAGATAAACGGGGGAGAGTTGAGTTACCGGCCAATGCTGTTGTTTTGTTATTCATGCAATGCAATTCCCATCAAGTAGGGCTGCTTACTAGGAAACTTTGCTACACAATTATGCACTAAATTTTATCATTTATATATTATTTAGTTGTTTACATAGTATACGGGAAAAAAAAATCATTAATCATCACGTATATAACTACTTTAGTCTTTGAAATTTTGTCATTAAATTAACATTTTATTTATATTTTTAAACGTGTATTCAAAGATACATAATAAAAATTAATAATTAAAAATTTTAATATTTAATATTATTAATACATTAAATTTACTGATATTATTTATTTATAACTTAAATTATATATATATATATATATATATATATATATATATATATATACTTCCTATGTTTTTGTAGGCGTATTAAAAAATTATTACCGGATTAATCTTTTACAAGAACTATTATAATGATTAATTTAACAATAAATTAAATATTTAAGAAATTATTTTAATAATAAAATTTTAAAATATTAATATATAGCAATTTAATTATTAACGAAATAGTTAGGTGATAAAAAAATGTAATCATACATATAATTTTGAAAGAACACGTTCAGAATTCACTTATAATTTGATAATACATTATTGAATGAATATATTGTTTTAAACTTAAATATACATACAAATTAAATTTGTTAACCTATTTTTTAAATAATTTTGTTATTTCAACAGCTAAAAATTATACTATCTCCAATTATGTTTATAAAAAATAAATATTAATATTTTTTATTAATTATTAAAAATAAAGATCAATGTATTCAAATGCATTAATCATTAAAAAATATATCTTTATTTATTGTAAAAATTATATCAATAAACATTCATCTTTTATGAGTATAGTGAGCATTTATTTGTTTAATATATAAGTAATTAATTTCACAATTTAATATTATGCATTTTTTAAAATATTGTATAAATATATAATATATAAATAATTTTATCAATTTTAATAGATTATTTATTTATTTCTTGTAATAAGACCAAAAGCAACATCGTATATCATATAATTAATATTTTTATTTTTTTATTTTTTATTTTAAATTTTATATATATATATATATATATATATATATATATACGGATCTTAGAAATTCATTTTAAATAATAAAAATATTGTTTTTTTATAGGTAAAATTGTTAACGGAGTTTCTTACATAAGACAAGATCCATTTTTTCTTTTGGTTGAATTACATCCAAAAGCATAGTAACTTACTACTTCAATAAGAATTTATCGAATCATAAAAATCACGGTTAGAAGATAATTAAATTTTTTAAGTATGTTGACGGGTATTTGATTCTTAACCCTATTTTATATCAATTTAAGGAGGCAATCCAATTGATACATTTTATAATAAAAATAAAAAATTACAAGGCAACATAATTGTTAGAAATTAATATGGTTCCCATGCACACGTATAACGAACCTTCATATTCAAATAAACTTCTGTTATCTTATTTAGGTTGTCCAACTTAATTTTTCTCCCTTTCAATCTTCCCATGATTGTGATTACATTATGTCTTGGTAAAAATGCTTCTTAAACTCATCCATGTGTGCTACTTGTAGACATAAAGCAACAAGCAAAGATCCATCTCCATCAGGTCCAGGAAGAAGCAAAGAATCTCCATCAAAATCATGCGTCCCAGGACCCATATAAACCTCCTTCCCCCACCCAAAATCAAGCCCATATATAGGCAACGTTAACCAACTAACCACACCCAAATTGGGGTTCCCATAGAAAGGACCATTATCACTTCCTATTGCATGAACATCTTGAAACCTAGTCAAATCCTCTTGCTTCTTCAAGAACTCAATCCCTGACCTCACGTACTCATCCGTCACCTTCTCAATCGCTTCCCTTATTCTACTTGCGGCATAACCCAGTGGCTTTGACACCAAATCACCCGCAACACTAGTAGCGACCACATCCAACGTGGCATTCCCAAAATACCCTTTTGGCAAACGAGGTTGCATGCGACTCCTCGAGTCAACACAAACACCAAGCGTTGTTGGTTGCTCCATTTGGTGCCCCCTTGCCATGCATGCACTTCTCCATACGTGACCGGTTACCGTTTCATAACGGGTATAACCACGACCATTACTAGGCCTATGCCATCCCTCATTTGCTTCTTTTTTCAATGTCTCAACTTGGGTTTTGCTTAGTTTGAGCACAGCCACAGAGGTCTTTTTCTTCCTCTCCTCTATGTTATCGTTTTGGCCAAGCAGTAAGGGAGGGGGATTGAACTCCGTGTGAACATGAAACTTCGGTGGTGGCATCAAAGGTGGCTCCCCAGCACGGAACACTTTTCGATCAAGAAACGGCACCGTTTGCAGAGGCTCACCGCGTGCAAGCCTTGTCCACTCACAAGTGAAGTGCAATGCACTTGGTCCATCCGCAACCGCATGTGAAATTATTGAACTTATGCTAATGCCACCACACTTGAATCTGGTAAGCTGAATGAGAACCAAGGGCAACTCGTGAATTGGGAGAGTGTAGTCTAGGCTAGGGACAAGGTAATGGTACTCTGAAGAGGGTGAAAAGTCACCGAGATCATTTAGAGTTGATGAGGACTCGGCTTCAATGAATTGAACACCCATGGCGTTACAATGGAGCTCTAAACGACCGTTGCCTATCCAGTGTAAACGACCGGCTAGTGGATAAAACGGCACCAGGACTCGGCTTAACGAGTCTTTCAAAGTGGTGGGAATGGTGGTGTGTGGGGTGAGCCAGTTTTGTGGGGGACGGTAGAAGTAGATTGTGGGCACGTGAGTTATGGTGCCTATTTGATCCCATTCGGATAAAGGTATGCGACCACACCATGTTGGGTCCATCGGCCTCACGGTGTAACTGTCTTTGAAGGTTACTGGCATGTTTGGTTTCTCTTGCTCGAGTGTGAGATCAAAGGTACAAATTAAGTGAATGATTAATTGAAGAGGTTCATTAGAGATGTCTTATAGTCATAGGTCTCTCACAATTTGGAGAATAAAAAATGTAAAATGTTTTTCACTCTGCCGCAAATGTCGTGTTCGGTTACTTAAAATGAATTCCTCGTGATGGTTGGTTGTTGCATGAAATATTCTGAATTTTAGCTTCAAACCCGATGCAATGCTATGCATGCACGCTTTCATTTGTGGATAGGCTTGTTGCTCCGTTTGGGTTACGGACCATATATAGAGTTATTTTAACTTCTTTTTTTTTTTACTATTATTACATTTTCACACTTTTTTTGTTTGCCTCTATTTCTCACTCTATCACATTTCTTTCTTTTCTTTCTTCTTTTCTTCTGATTTCTCTTTTTATACTGTCCATTTCCACACATCTTTAATAAGTGTCAAGGGATATTTGTTTAACCCCAACATTAGATGTGGGTTTATCTAAGTTGCCAACGGCATAAATAATGCCATCTTAGGAAATTTTATTATATTTATTAACCTCGATTTTTATCGGAGTTAAACATCCAAATATAATAAGTTTGTATTGAAAATAAAACAAGTATTATATTAAAAATATAATAAATATTTTTATTTTTAATGATATTATAATTATTATTTATTTATTTATTTAAAGTCAAGTCTTAAAATTGAGGTTACCATTTTATAACTTCATTTATTTCATTTACTTATATTCAAAATTAAAATCAACTTGCATCTATATTAAACTTTATTTAAACCTAATAAATGTATAGTTTTTTAATTAATTAATTAATATATGAGAACACACAACAAAATTTATTTATAATATTTTTTATTAAAAATTATAAAAATTTAATATATTGATAACACTAAATATTATGTTTTGAATAAAAATATTATATATTTATTACTTTTTCATAATATGTTGTTAGAAACATATTAAAAAATTGATAAAAGTGATATTTTATTCAAATGACTCCTTGCATTTATTCATTTTAAAACAACAATTATTTTAAAAAACATTTAATTCTTTCTTCTTCTTTTTTGTCTCATCACATATTTATTAAAAGAAATAGAGATACTATCAATTGTTAAAGTAAAAAATGTTCAGTATTTTAATTAGTGAAACAGAATTAAATATCTCTCAGGACTATTTAATGATTTTCTAATTGTATCTTAAACTATATTTTGAAAAAATGTCACCCGTTCAAAATCAGCCAACTCAGTCTAGTCTGTTTGTGATTAACTAGTTGTAAATGATGCAAATCGGATTAATCCAATTTATTCACCTCTTGGTTTTAACAGTGATTCAACTGTCTATTGATTAATTATTTTAAATTATTTTCCATCATTTATTTTTTAATAATTATAAACTAACTTTAATAATAAATTTCATATGTATCACCAAATACGTAAATCAAGAGAATAATTTTTACGCTTGAGATATAGACAATTATATGATATAAAATAAAGAACAATTATAAATAAATGTGAAAATAAATACTCATTAATTATTTTTAAATGTATTAATTAAGGAATTATGAGATATAATAAATAATTTATAAAAATAACTTATAATTCTTGAAAAATAATTTTTTAAATTTTTTTTATATATTCATTAAAATAATTTATTTTCAATTCATTTTAACAAATTTTATAATCAAATTCATGTTGTAAGCTATAAAAAAATCTATCACCCAGCAAAAAAATAAATAAAATCTATCAAGTAAACGTTTATTCAAGATACTGAAAGGAAACCTTGACAATATTTTAAACAATGAGTTAAATATATTTTTATATTTATAGTATTAAAGTTATAAAAATGTAATAAATATTTTTATTTTAATAAAATATATTATTATTCACTGCTCCTTGACCCTATGAAAAAATAAAATCCAAGGAAGCTTTTTTTATTTTATTTTGAAACACTAACAAATCGCACGGCAAGGCCTCATCATTTTGATTAATGATGAATTAATAAAGAAGAAAGCTCACATTGCTTAGACACCAGAATAATCACACGTTTGCAAATGTGTCAGATTATTATTAGAAAAATATCAACCTCAATTTTTAAAGATTAAAAAAGTAATTAAAAATATATATTTATTATATTGTATGTATTAAAAAAAAACTATTAATAATTTTAGATACTTAAAATACTGGAAACATCAAATGCAGTTATTATTATTAGATACTAATTAATCTAACCCAGAGATGGATTAGCAGAAATAGCGACATCTACATTCAAAATTAGGCGGTGCTGAGGAAAAACAATATCCAACGGCCTGAAAAGAGAACAGTAACACACATTGAGTCCTGCATGCAGCTTCAATGCAGTTGCCTTGGTATATTGTTGATTCACACCACGCGTTACTCTTCCTATTGCTATTGCTATTGTAATTGCACCTACAGATCTTATTCTCCACACAAGAAGCCTTGCCACCTGGATAAGCCTTTGTGCACCTTGAAGAACACTCTGCATCACACCTTCCCATGTCTTCATGTAGTGAATCGCCCCTCACAACCATCACATTCCAAGTTCCTTAAAAAATAAATCATCAAATTTACTGTCTATGAAAATGTATAAATCATCTTAATAGTTCTCAAAATTTCATGAAATAAGTATTTTAATTCTTAATATTTTTTAGATGATGTTTATTTGATTTTTTTTGTAAAATCAAAAGAGGGTGTGAAATTTTAAGAACTAAAATGTTGGATCAATACAGATTTGAAAACTGATATATAAATTTAATTGCAGATTATTTCTATTCAGAATCAAAAGTAATGAGCAAATATTATACAAGGGCGTGTATGTACCTAATGGAAGTAAAAGGAGAACAGCAAACACAACGCAGACCTTTGACATGTTGGGTTGAGATTTTACTATTCACCTTGGAAGGATTTCTATTTTTTTTTTTTTTCCCCTTTTGGTGAATGCCTTAGAAGGATTTCTTGATGCTTGCCTTGACCACTGACTGAAGTTCCAGTATTAATAAGTTCTACCACCAATCGAAAGGCCAGGCTGGCGAAGGGGTGAAAATCTTAAACAATCAATGGTGTATAACTTTTTTTATTTCTTTTAACCCATTTAGCAGAAGCAATCATATTTAAGCTGAATTGGATTACTGTGGGTATCAAATTGTTTTTCTAAATATTTAAGGAGATTATAAATTAAGCTAAAATAATTTCTACTAGTTATCTTTATTAGTTAAAAATAAATAAATCTCTTTTACATTTTGTTTGCAAATATCTTGAACATAATGTGAATACTTACAGATATAAGTAAGAATCTTTGAATAAAAATATTAAAATAAATATAACTATTAGAATATTATTTTAATAATAATAAAAAATATAATTTAGATTAAAATTATACAATTTAAAAATTTTGAGTTTTAATGGGTTTAACAAAAACAATCATTATAATAATATTTTATTATATCTAATATTTAATGATTTTTTAGTATTAATTAAGTAAATTAATTAAGAAAATACAACTCGTGTCCTCTTCCACTAGTTAATTAATTAATTAAAAGTTTTTAATTCATTTTAGAAAACTCTAAACTAGAAATGACAACAAAGTGGATTAAGGGCAGGTTGAACTATCTCCATCTCCACCCCCTGCCGAAGACAAGGCAAGTTAATTGTGTATGTTCCATTTTTAGTGAAAACATGTAATTTTAGCTACATTTTTAGGCATTATTATAATTTAAAACATTTAATTATCATGATGATTAATTTATATTAATTGTAAAAAAGATATACGAGTGAGAATAAAATGATAAATCTAATATATGTGTGTGTTTGTACTTGTACTCAATTTAAAAAAGCTTTTCTTTCCATTTAAGTCAAGTTGATATTGGATAGGTGCCTACAAGTTCAGATTTTATCACGTCTACTCAAAACAGATAAATTATAGAATAAAAACAGCCACTATTTATGTAAGTATATAAATGAGACCACTATAAAAACAAAATGCTTAAATTTATCATATAAAAATAAAATATATCTAGTAATGCCATAATTTTAACCATGAACAAAATTTATACGTGGTATTTTAAGTTTTAAAATATTTTTTTAACTAAAATTATTCGATATGTTGATCTTAAATATTTTTGTTTGCTAAATTATGGAAATAAAATTTTAGTCTAAATTTAAAACAAAAAACTTAAAATTTTGTCATTTAACTATTTTTTTAGCATTATTCTCTCACGTACATGCTCGAAGGCAAAATTTATTAGCTGCTATGGTCAATGTAAGAGTAAATGCATCTGTCAGAATTAATTGAGTTTATTATAAACAATTATGTAAAAAAAATGGAAGAAACTTTTTTTATTATAATTATTAAAAGTATTTATTTTTTTCTACATGTTTATCTTTTATTATTTTACTTTTTTTTACCCTTTATTCCTTTTTTTATCTATCACTTTATATTGTTTCGCACAATTTAAGAAAATAAATGAATAAATATCCTAGCTTGCATAAAATTTATTATCTAATTTCCAATTCAACTACTACTTTTTCCTCTAGTTAATTAAATTTTTTTAATTTATTAATCTTACCATTCTTTATTTTCTTTCTAGATAATGTCACTCTCTCACACACATTTTCATCCATGGAATTATTTATTTATTTTTTTGTTAGTTTCCATCCATGGAATCTTGAACAATTTGTAGATGATCTTAAACATACTCTATTGTCTTTTAGTGAGCATGCATTAATGTTACCTGTGCTGTCGTACTAGATTTAAAGTATTTATATATTTTCTACAATGCAAGCACTATAATCTTTTGGTACAAGATTTATTGAGTTGTTGTGATTTTTTTTCGTGTGATTTTAATTTGCATAAATATTTATAATTTTAAACACGTTATTGGCATCCATTATATTAATTTTTAATATTGAAAATAAGACATTGTATGAATTATTATATAGGAGAGTTATGAAAAAGTTTAAGACTTTGCATGAATCATCAATTAATTTTTGAATTTTATGATAGTTAAACTCATCCTATAATAAATGTGTAAAATGAATAAATACTGTAAAGGGAAAGGGTATCATAAAGAAAAATAATAATAAATATTTCCATAAACTTCTAAAGTGAAGGATATATATAAAGAATATTTTTTTCTAAAATGGTGAGGGAAATAATCAACATAAAGTTTTTGTTAATCTTAACTTTTAAGATTTAAACTTAAATATTTTTGAAAAAATATTTTTTATTGAAAAATAACATATTATATTAAATATATACAAGTATAATATTTTTTATAAAATATTACATTAATAGTTGCTAAACGACTTTATTTTAGCAGGGCCTAAACATTTACTAATTGAGTTATGATTCCTTAGTATTTAATGTCCCATTCGAGAAAAATAAAATAATTGTTGTACCTTTCAATTAAGCATTTAGTGGATTAAAATTTTTAGTTATATATTGCGGTATTTTTTTAACATTCATATAAATTAATGATATATAATATTTTTATTAATTATTAATTTAAAATGAAGATTTTGATTTAAACAATTAAAAATTGTAGAAATTAAATGCAATTAATTAAGATTAAACAGACAATATATATATATATATATATATATATATATATATATATATGATTCATAATAAAAAATTACATATAATTTAAAATACGTAAAATAAAAATTATAATTAAATCAAATAAAAAATTTGAAAGTATTTCAGCAGAGAATAATAATAACAACTTGTGCCCGAAGTTTAGATTTCATAATTTAACCAATTATACTGTGAAAAAAAATTGAGATTTTGGTTGAATAAAAGATTTATTTATTTTTAACTTAAATAAAAATGCTAATTTTGTAGCAAAAATAAATATGATCCTATTTAAATAATTTAAAATATCAACAAGTGAAAAAAATATTTATTTATTTTAGTAATGTAAATTTATTAATTTAATTATTTACTTTTCACATATAAAAAATAAAAAAACAATTTATTTTATAAATAGAAGAAATTTATTATTGTAAATACAAAAAATACTCAAAACCCATTACACTATAAAAAATAGTTGATATATTATTTTTAAAACAATGACAAATAGGGGTTTTTTACAAAAATAAAATATTTTAAATAATAAATTACACATATGTCTTAAAAAAATTTGTACATAAATATCATGAATTAGAATATATAAAAGTCGATTATAATTGACTTCTGTATTGAATTGAACTCGATTATAATCAACTTCGACAACGCATATCCCCATTTAAAAAAATATAATTTTAATTAAATTTGTTAATATTTTCATATAACAATTAAATAATATCAATATAAAAATAATATTTTAAAAGACAAATAATTTAAATTATAAACTGCATAAAATTTAAATTTCAAAATACATGAAATTAAAATTCTAAAGTACAGGAAATTAAAATTCTAAAGTAGATCACTATCCAGCATATGTGACTATGAGCCACGCCTGTTACGTCTGGGCTAACACGGTGACTCCTGTTGCACAATGACGATATACAATCTGTCGTACAGGTCTGTGATGTGTATGTTCCTCCTCCTGCTGATGTATGTTTTGATCATCCGCTTCCTGCTGTTGGACAGGTGTGTGCTGCTCCTCCTCTGATGAACCATTAAAGGTGGGAGTTTGGATATATATTGGTGATGATCGATATAGATTATCTGGTGGTGGTAACATGAACGGTGGACTGAACGATATATGTCCTGCAATATCATCCTGAGTTAGACCTATGACAAAATATTGCATAGGACTAGGAGTAACCTCAGCATCTGACATGAATTGATGACTAGGGTCTGTCATAAAATGCTGGCCCGGAGTCATACATGGTTGGCTAGGGCCCGACATAAATTGGTGCTGAGAAGGACCAACCATGTACTGATGTTGGCTAGGTCTTGACGTGAAGTGGTGGCTGTGGTATGTAGGTATCGGGTGGTATGTGTAGTGTGAGGTATGTTGTACAGTTGGATTTGCATCAGGTTCTTCATTATGTGCTGGGATGTTAGCTGGTATATACGTCTCATCACGGTATTGACGTCTACTGGCACGTTACCTGCACGTAAACGCTGGGGGGTATGTAGTGGTACACCATCAGGTAAGTTCCTAAGCTCTGCATCTTGTGGGCCTCCATCAAACGAGGCAACAAGTTGAGTGGCACTAAATATTGATCGGTTGAGTGACACCCTATTATCGCGTAGTTCGACAATTTAGTGAAGTATAACACATACCGACCAGCCCGATAAATATTGATCGGTTGCACGCTAAGGATGGGAGAGGTGATCTAGATATATGGTGGCCTGATTATCATGTGACATGGCATGCTGTATGGGAAGCACGTAGGGACCGACGAGTTCCATTTTCTCTAGCTGATGATGATCTTCCCTCTGTCGAGTACTTTAAGTGGTACTTGCTGCATGTACATAGATTTTTGTCGTTTGATAGAGGCCCACAAGATGCAGAGCTTAGGGACTTACCTGATGGTGTACCACTACATGCCCTCCCAGCACCTGACATAACACACCCTGATGACGTTCCAGATAGATACTCTTTCATACGTCGTTTGCGTGTAGGTAACGTGCCAGTAGATGTCAATACCGTGATGAGACGCATATACCAACCGACATCCCAGCATATAATGAAGAACCTGATGCAAATCTAACTGTATAGCATACTACACACTACGCATACCACCCGATACCTACATACCACAGCCACCACTTCATGTCAGGACCTAGCCAAATATTCCTTTTTGGGTGGTCTACGAGCTGCTGCTCAATCGATTAGTTATGAAATACCATTAACTCTATGTGTGTTATCAATATCTCTACGTGTTTAGTTGACCCATATCCTGACATAAGAAGTCCAATAGGAGCAATACTTGAAATAGCAATCCATAAAAAAACACCGATATTAAGGTCAGATAAAACAAAGTTATAATTAAAAGGAATTACTAAATAACTTATTATAATTGATATGACTGATATGAATGGTCCGATACTGAAAAAATTAATATCTTCTCTAGATGGAATAAGATTCTCCTTGAAAAGTAGTTTTGTTCCGTCTGCTAGAGCTTGAAGAACTCCAAAAGGACCAGAATATTTAGGTCCAATACACTGTTGTATCCCTGCGAATATTTCTCTTTCTAACCATACAATTGCTAGTACAACAGTACATGGCTAGTCCTTCTCAGCACCAATTTATGCCGGGCGCTAGCCAACCATGTATGACCCTGGGCCAGCATTTTATGGCAGGCCCTAGTCATCAGTTCATGTCAGATGCTGAGGTTACTCTAAGTCCTATGCAACATTTTGTCACAGGTCTAGCTTAGGATGATATTGCACGACATATATTGTTTATGTCGCCACCACTAGATAATCTATATCGACCATCACTAATACATATCCGAACTCCCACCTTTAATGGTTCATCAAAGGAGGAGGAGGAGCACACACCTGTCCAACAGTAGGAAGTAGATGATCAAAACATACATCAGCATGAGGAGGAACGTGTATACCAAAAACCTGTACAACAGATTGTATATCATCGTTGTGCAACAGAGAATTACCTTGTTGGACTTAGACGCAATAAACGTAGCTCATAGTCACATATGGTGGATAGTGATCTACTTTACAATTTTAATTTCTTATACTTTAGAATTTTAATTTCATGTATTTTGAAATTTAAATTTTATGTAGTTTATAATTTAAATTATTTATCTTTTAAAATATTATTTTTACATTGATATTATTTAATTATTATATAAAAATATTAATAAATTTAATTAAAATTATATTTTTTTAAATAAAGATATGCATCGTAAAAGTCAATTATAATCGAATTCAATTTAATAGAGAAGTCAATTATAATAGAGTTCTATATATTTCAATTCAGGATATTTATGTATAATTTAAAAAAATATATATATATATGTAATTTATTATTTAAAATATTTTATTTTTATAAAAAATCCGACAAATAGAGACTTTACACGAGGATAGAATAAAATATCTATTAAAGTAGATATCGTGATAAATAATTAAATATATTAACGTGGGGGTGAACTGAAAATAATTTAGTGAGGTGACGGTAATGGTGATGTGTGTGTAGGGTTTAGGGTTTTTGGTGTTGTGAAACGATGGCGTCGAGACCAGAGGTGGTTGCGCCGCCTGAGATTTTCTACGACGATGCTGAAGCACGCAAATACACTTCTTCTTCTCGTATCGTTCAAATTCAGGTTCTTCTTCTTCTTAATTTAATTTTCTTTTCTTTCTCTTCGAAAACAATTAATTCGATTTGGTGTGCGAAAAAGGCCACGCTGTCAGAGAGAGCGTTGGAGCTACTTGCTTTGCCCGATGACGGCGTTCCTAAATTGCTCCTTGATATCGGTAATTTTAATTAAATTTAATTATTTGCTGTCGCTTTCGTCAAATTTCTAGGGTTGATGAATGATCGAATGCTTTGTGTAGGTTGTGGATCGGGACTTAGCGGTGAGACACTCTCGGAGAGTGGACACCATTGGATTGGTCTCGACATTTCACCATCGATGCTCAGTATGCTATGTTATCCAATTTTTTGAATATTGTTATTCTATCTGTTTAGCATTTTGTTTGCTAATTTTTATTTTATTTTTTTGTTTATTCTTAGATATTGCGTTGGAGCGAGAGGTTGAGGGTGACCTTTTACTTGATGACATGGGTCAGGTATGCTATTTAATTAATTTCTGCTTAATCATCATCATTGTTGTTGTTATTATTAATATTTCCAGTTTAATGTTATTATGTTCTAATTCCGTGTTATTGTTAATACTCTGTGTGGTTTTTTCCCCTCTTGTCATCTGGTTGATGTTTGTGTGCGGCGAAATATTTTGTTCTCTTAAAATAGAGAAGAACATGTCTGCTCTGCATCTTACCTTACCGAATTTCTAATGCTTTATGTTTGGTTTCAGGGTTTAGGGCTTCGTCCAGGAGTTATTGATGGGGCCATCAGTATCTCTGCTGTTCAGGTGTGCTTTCAATATAAATGAGAAAAATTAAACTGAAGCCTGAAAAAGATTTTTACAGAATGAGCTCTTTGTTAAATTAAAAATGTACAGTTTTTGGACTGTGTTTGAGTCAAGCTCTTAAAGACCGTGGAGTGAAAGAAATGATACTTAGTTATAACGTGTCACTGTCTACTGTAAAGTTACATATTTTGAATGCATAGCTCTTGTGTGTTCCATTTTGATTTGTTTTTTTCCCCATGTGAACAAGTCTTGCTTCTCTACCAAGTTTGATTGGGGGTATCTCATTTTCATTCTTAATTCTGTGGACTTCTATATGATAATGCAGTGGTTATGCAATGCTGATAAATCCTCACACAACCCGCGTTTACGATTAAAGTATGTTCATTTACTTTTTAATTGTGCTACTTCTTATATCTATACTTTTTACAATTAGGGTCTCTTTAAACTCTTAGGCATTTGGAAACTTGCACAGTTCTGCTTTTCCTTGGGTCTCACGGTCTATAGTGAGATTGGGTTATGCTGGAATCTATCACCTTTCTCTGTTGCTCTAAGAATATATGAACTCAACTTTTTGTGCAGGGCTTTTTTTACTTCTCTATACAAATGCTTAGCAAATGGAGCTAGAGCAGTATTTCAAGTGTATCCTGAAAATCTAGACCAGCGTGAATTGATTTTAAATGCTGCTATGCATGCTGGATTTGCTGGTGGTATAGTGGTGGATTTTCCACACAGGTAAGAATACATAAACCTTATAACAGTTTTTCTAACATGTTTATTGAAAATCACAAAATCCAATGCATTGATAACATTTAATGTTACAATTTCTGATAAAATCTTACTTTGTTGATTTCTTATTGTGTATCTTTAGGCAAATGTTAGAAAAACTGACCTTACACCACTATAGCTCAATTGTTTCATAAAAAATAATGTACTGGAAAAATATTATCTGCATTTTTGTGTTTATTCTATCATCAGCACAGTTGCTTTTGTCTTCCACTGATTGGTTGGTGATGTAATCATTAGTTTCTGGTCAGTGGAGTCACGTTAATGGACTGAGATAAAATGCGTAAAACCTTTTACTGAGATTAAGTGAAAATATATTATGAAACTCAAATTTTGTCTATAATCCCTTCCTTCCTCTATTCTCATGTCACTGCTTGTTTTTCTTAGCATTATTTGTGAGAACCAGCAGAAATTAATTAAATATCTTAAAATGAATCATCTTAAGATGTATATTTTCCAAGCATGAAAAGTGCAACACCCCTAGCTGAGGGTGGAGCCATCATTTTTTATTGAATTTGAGGCAGCTAAATATTAGATTAATTCAAGTCCAAAACAATTGAGACAAAACAATATTAAAGAAAAGTCTGATTTGTCAACATTTCACATTCACAATAAAAAATAACAAGTAAACACAATGATAGGCAAATACAAAAAAGAAAAATGTCTGAACATTTTATCAAACAAATTTTGGGTAGCCAGTGTATTTTTTGGGTGTAGCCAATCATATTTATCTTAGCTACTTTGGGAGGCTTAAATAAAATTTGCTACCCCTGGACTGCCCCCATCATACGCTATTGGTAAGGAATAGACAAGGATGATCACAAATGAGTTTATTATCTGGAAATACATGCATGCATTGTTGTTTCACTCCTTTCTTTATATTCTTATAGATTTATTACTGATGGCCAACACTCCTAATATTGCATCTGAATGTAAATGTGTAATGTTTTGTTTGATGGGGTATTTAGCTATGATTTCTTTTGGAAATCATCTGCATCACAGTTTAGCCTTTTTGAGCATGGTGTTTCACTAACTGGAGAACAATTGTTTTATGATAGCACCAAGAGAAGAAAAGAGTTTCTTGTTCTCTCATGTGGTCAACGATCAATAAATGCATCCGTATCCAAGGGTAAAAATGAAGGTGGGGAAATTTGCTCTGACGATGACAGTGAAGATGAAGAAAATCAGACAGTGAGTCTTGCCTCTTGTGAATTCAATTCATATAATGAACTCTTTAAAGAATAATCCTAAAAAAGTGACTTTCCTTACAAGGCACCTGATGTTGACTTATGTCTTATTTGATTATTAGTTGGCTTTCATTTCAAAGCATCTTTGCTTTGTTTGATTAGTTGGTTTCTCGGTTGTCTTCATAGAAATGCACCTAATCTTAAATTTATTTCAGACTTTGGAAATGCAAATGATGTTCACAAGTTATGTATGCCTTTTTGTACCCGTCCTTACTCACAAGCTGATGACTAGTTTATTAAACAAAAAAAAATGCTGCAGGTATGTATCTCAGACAGGCATAGACCACGGAAAAAGCAGAAAAAGAATAATAAGAGCGGCAAGGGAAAGGAGTGGATACTAAGGAAGAAGGAGCAGATGAGAAGAAGAGGAAATGCTGTTCCCCCAGATACCAAATACACAGGTCGAAAACGGAAGGATCGATTCTGACTTTGTTTGGCATTTGCTTCAGAGTGTTGCATATTCCTAGTCACATTTATTATTTGATTATGGGGATTACGAATTGTATATTGATTATGGGCTTCAGAATCCCGTCCTGAAGGATCTTTCACGCTCGTTCCTGGCAGTCAAATCTGTTCGATCATGAGCGGCCTTGGAGATTTTTGTAAACTAATTATGCGGTATGTTGGATATTATTTTTAGCCCGGGATCCTGACCCATTTTGCCAATGAATTTGTACGTCCTTTACTCCTTTTAAAATACAGATAAAAAAATGTCACTTTTGCTTTAGTTGGTATTTGGCAAACTTTATGCATTTATTATTATTTTTTTTGGAGTGTTATTGCATGCCATTGCGCGGCAGATACACACTGGAGATGTTATTTTCTTAATATAACATTTATGATTATATTAACACGGTCATTTGAATTGATTGGCAAATAAGAGAAACATTTTCCACTAAACATGACAAGATAATATGGTTTTTTAGCTAAATATTTTTTGGTCAACAATTTATCAAGTAAGCTTAACTGAAAAAATCGAAAACTTTGATCATATTGAGCTCAGAAAAAGTCTTCGGGTTCTTCTCGTTCGAAAACCATCGTTTTTCCCGGTCGTTTCCATACAAATAATTAGAGAAAACTAAATCCTAAGCAGTACTTGAGTTGATTGTTTGCAAAGACAATCAAAAGCTTTAACACCCTATTAAAACAACCTCACAACGAACTTTATCATAGGTTCTCCAATAATTTTAATTTTATTTACAGATACTGTACTGAAGAAGCACTACATCTATAAATAAAATTAAAACAATAATAAAATTTACCATGAAGTCATCCCCACCCAGTCATAACTTAGTTATTGTTATATGTCGTGCTCATGCATAACTTACAAAATTCCTTTTAATTTTGAACATAGCGCCATGCTTTTTGACCTTGAGCTCAAGCTTGCCAAAGATCAGCACCACACTCCAATATCTGGCTTCTTCCTCCGGACAAATAGAGTATTTTCAAAACGCCAATCATTTCACTTAATCATGCCCAATTAAATCAACATGTAACCACTCCACAAGGACGAGAAGCAGATATTGAGAAACAAGAATCCTTGACTGTACCTAGCCCTTTTCTAGAAAACCACAGTAAGCAGAGATCTTCCAGTAAATTTACATGTGGAAGGATTTCCTTCCAAATAATTGCACTCAAACCATAATACAAACCAATTACTTAAATGACATAATTACATCAAGTTTCACATGTATGCATACACCAATATTTATCGAAGCCACGAATGTTGAAACTACCAAGGCGCAGAAGATATGAAGCCTCGGGAGTAGTAGCGAAGGTTTATTAGGAGGCCCAAAGATCAGTTGTCTAATCTATCTCCCGTTATACAGAATCCATGTTAGTTGCGGTGCCACGGAAGCATCGTACATGATCCTCTCTCTATTGCCATCATGATCCAGGTGTTTGGTTCTCTGCATTCAAAATATATAGGATAAGCATAAAAGGTGGACTACCGGGGTTGCCCCTCTATATTTTCTATTCGCTTTATATATTTAATTTCTCATTTGGCAGTGGGTTGACAAGTGAAAAAAGCAAATCCAGCTTCCTAATTTCACAAATTTAAGCAAATGGCTTGTTTGATTTTGAAGCTTCTACAAAAAATCAACATAATATGTCGAAAGAAAAGAGGTAAGTCAGAAGAAGGAAACCTTGTTCTGTTAGGTGAATGATTATCTAGATTTTAGTTTGTTCATGTACCCCTAAAGGTTCTTGTTTTTTAGTTTACGTGCAATTTGTCAAATTGCTTGCATTTAGATTTCATAATTTCCCAATTGTCCAAATTAAGTTCCTCATCCAATGTTTTATCCAATAATTAACAGGAATATAATGATGATTGACAAAGGAAAATGAATAATTTTTAAAATGCACTCAAAAAGCTTCCATTACAATGAATACATTCTGTTTTTTCTTTTAAAAAAAAAAAAAAACTATTCACATTTTTTATGCATTTTTTATCTGTAAATCTTATACAAATCAATGCAATCACAATTCTGTTCCATTTCCATTAAGTATGTTATAAATAGAATAGGAAAGAACAAGTACTACTTTTAGTCAAACTCTCTTCAATATACCAAAAATGAGCCAATGCCACATGGACAGAGCTCAAGCATATTTATCATAATCACCGTACCTACCCCATTATATATTACTAGAAGAATGCAATTGTGCTTTATATGTAAAAGAACCAGGATTTCTGTATTGTTAACCAAAGTAAACCGAAGTACTAGGGTGTACATACCTTCTCCAAGTAGCTGTTCAAACCGAGCCACAATATGCTTTCCGTAAGTGTATTTCTTCAAAGCATGAGCATGAAGTCTTACGCGAGAAAGTAACATTGCTCGCTGATTTTCAGAACAGATCTCAAGAACTTTCTGGACCACATAATTTGCAAATTGGTCTTTCATCATTGTCTACAGTGAAATTAAGAGTGGTGTAGTAAGCAAGAGTAAAAACCACGAAGTCATGGGTTACACCAGTTATAAATGAACCAATTAGTTATAGCATAATCACATAATATGTAATGCTCAAGGACTTCCTGCCATTGTAATAATTTGGAAGACCTTAACAATACCAAGTAAGGTGTAATAATCATCATAAATTGAAGGAAAGAATCTTAGGGTAGTTTTAGAGTCTCAAAACCAACTACAAAAGGAACCTTTTAAGACTTTAGATCAGTCAAATAAAGCAGCAAATCAATAGCCATAAAAGCTCTCTGACGTAGTTATTCTGTCAGTCCTAGATACCACATAATAAACTAGTAATGGGAACCTATGTACCACTTTATACCCTAACTCTTGCTGACATGGAGACAGGCATTTTAAGCAGCAGCATATATGTGGACAAAAAAAAATGGAAGTGCACTGATTACTCATGAATGAGCTAAATTTGGATGATACTATGATTATACTTATTTTAAAATTTGAGAAATAAACAATAAGATGGTCCATTTACCTGAAAGAAAAAGGAATAATCACAGGACAAAAAAAGGATTACAAGGAGACTTACATTTATGGGTATAAGTGTTTCCAGGAAGACATTTGCAATGTTTAAGTTGAGATACATCTATTGACAATGCTAACTAGCAAAAGATTTGGGTAATTACAATTGAATATTCAATTCAAACTATCCAGGCATAGGGATGAATTAATCAAGTGGATCTTGAAAATAAAATGCTTGATAATTCAGTTCAACAATTTCCCTCACCTTTTGAGGATAATGTATTATTTCTGTACAATGGAACACCTTTGCTGGGTATAAGGTTAGAAAACAACAAATCACGTGCAGCCTCTACTTAAAAAGTTGTGCAATTTCTGTCCCTGCCTAATAGCTTTACGCAATTTATTTTTTAATTTGGTATAGCCTCTGAACAAACTCAAAACTAGATCCGAGTCACTTAATAAATATTTAAACTTGAAGATGATGTGTGCTGACCCTTGGGTATGAGCTATGCGGGGCTGTGCTATAGATCAACCAATGCTTTAGGTTATTACACCCCCCCCCCCCCTTCTCCTTTCTTTTGGGAGGATTTCTTGTCTTACAATATGCTATATATAATAGATATATGAACATTCTATTAACTAGTAAATGTGATTAGCCTCGAAAATTGAATGCTTACCAATAAATTATCATTTTGTTTGTCATGTCCAACAATCTCTGCAATTAACAACTGCCGTTCAGTTGCATCACCATACTCCAAACATTTCTCAACAACATTTGATGCAAACTTATGCTGGCTTAATTGTACAATATGTCCTGACAGCTTGCTAATAATTTGGCTCCTTTCCTGAGGCTTTCCTCTCTCCAACACATGCTGTAATGACATAAGCAGAGCATCATAACTAAAGAAATGAAACAAAAATTTACATATACAAACCATAAAAATATCTCACAAAAATTAGAAAATGTTATCCAGGACAACCCCAGAATTTATCTGTATCATTGCAAGCATAGTAATAATATTCTATAAAGCTATTTGGAAAGGCATTATTAATTAACACATATACACAATACAAGTATTCATTCAAAGGCCAAGGGATGGGGGATAACCTTAAACATCCCCTCAACCAAAAATTAAAATACATGCACACTTGTGCGCACACACATGCTCATCAATAACATCTGTAAAATTTAATTAGAAGATCATGTGTGGGAATGGTTTGGGTTGTCCCCTCCAAAACTTTCAAAACAATCTTTGCACATTTATACTAACTCTAGTCATCAGCACAGCCCCATCTCACATACTTGTATTCAGATTTAGAAACATTTTCTTATACCACAAAAACAAACAACAATCTAAGTCTTATTTCAATAAGCGAGATTGACTATATAAATTACACGATGCCATTGAACTTGGTCAAAAACTAAATTCTTAAAAATTCAAAAACTAAATTCTTAAAAATATTATTAATTAATAGATATCTTTTAATAACTCTACTAAAGTTCTTTGACAGTTTTCAATCATCGTTTTTCACTGTAAGTGTCATTCCAATATTCTCACAAATACAATCATTTACTATTGTTATTTCTCACATTACCACTCATCTAGCTTAATATTTTCATTTTTGTCACCCACTTTTTTCTCGTGTTATTCTATGGCAGTCTTGATTAAAAATAGAGAATAAGTCAAAGCAATACCCTCTACCTCACCTCACCCAAAGCAACCATTGCAAAACAAAATTTATAAATTATGCAGAATTTCTTTGAAATGGGGTAACTGCTTATATAAGATGAAATACAAGAGAAGATGATCAAGAAATTATAGAAGAAACACAAAAACCAACAGAAAAAACCATCCAAGCAGAAAAAGAATATGGAAACCAATGATTTAATTTGAACATCATGTCAAAAAGTGATCTGGCAAACTGAAAGTGAAAAGGAGCTTAGGAACAAAAGTAGGTTAAAATAGAAAAAATAAAATAAAAGGAAAAACTTTGAAGAGTGAAGCTACAAAGCCTTGACAGAACAGTAAGAATTGTTGTGTGTTGCTAGGTCATAGATTTGAGTTGTGGAATCAGCTTCTTGCAAATGCAAGGTAAGGCTGCTTACAAAAGACCCAAAAGAGCTTCTTTCTCAATTCATAGCATCAAATTTCCTTTTAAAAATCTTCTAAGAGTGAATTAGCAATGTAGCATATGCTAAGACTCATAAATCAAGCTATTCAAAGTCAGAGCAGGACTGTTATACAAGTAATCAGAGCTTGCTGCTTGAAGCCACAAACCTGGTTAATTCTGTAATGCAGACAGAGCATATGTAGCTTGTTATAATTGAATAAATGATAGAAAAGGCATGTCTATACCTCCAACTTAATTCAGTTTCTACTATGCATCATGATCACTACTTGCTTCTAATAATCAGTATTGCAATTAACAGAGAAAAAAATAGCAACTAACCTGAGTAACATAATTGCCATACTGGTCCTCAGCAAGAGTAAAAACTGACTCCAAGATTTCATCCACAATAAACTGACATTGAACTTCATTTGAACAATGCTCTAGGACTCTCTACAAGAAATATCGTCATGGAACTGAACACAATCAGAGAAATGTCAATTTCTTGTATGGAAAAGGTAAATTCAATAACCTTACCTGTATGACTCGGCAACCATAGGGATGCATAGATAGAATAGCAACTTGCCCACGGAATGCAGATATTATAAAGCCAATTTTTTTGGTTGGAATAGATTCAACGCATTTCTGTATTACATGATTCCCATTTTGGTCACGAACACATCTCATAACATGTCCATCCAGCTCATAAACAAGCTGAGCTTTCTGTTCAAGATCGATAACCTCAAGTGCCTGCACAGGCACAAAATTGAAATAAATATAATAGTATTAAGCTCTCAATTCAAGGCTTGATTTGTAGCCATAACTTTTCTCTACTATCAACATTCTTCACTAACAAACAAATCACACTTTGGAAGAAAACAAAGAAACGACAATTTTATGAGAAAGCAGTCTGTCACTCTGTCAACCTTCAATTGTGCCCTTACCCATTGGACATTCTTCAATGGAATAATCAAAGCCAAACACATTAGCAGATCACAAAGTCCAAACAATGTACGACTTGTGGGACAGAAAAAAATGAAAAAAGGCATTCCCTTTGCTTTCAATAGCCATATTTATTGAAAGGAGTGTTAGGAATACACTTTTAATTATTGGCTAAAATTCATTTAAAACTATTAAAGCAAGAGAGAGAAACACTAAATTAAGAGTGAGACCCACACGATTTTTGTAGTTTTAATAAACTTTAATCAATAACTACAAAAGTGTTGCTAGCATTTCGATAGCGGCGCTATCGCTATGACACAGACTCTAGTTGCCACAGATCTTCCCTACCAGATCATTTCTCCATCATAGGTGGTTTTGTGGGTGGAAACATGGATTTTTGCAGTGCAACAGTGCCGCTACAGAGAAATGGCAGATCTCTCTCTCCCCCCCCCCCCCCCCCAAAAAAAAAACAAGAGGGGGCAGGTGTTCAGGGTAAAACAAACTTTTTACCCCTTTTCAAAGCTCTTTGAAACCCATAAGTCCATAACCCCACATTTTTTCTTCGCCCTCCCTCTGTTCAACACTTCTTTCACTCTCTTGTATCTGTTCTGCTCCTTTCTCTGCTCTAGCAGAGGCACCCATCTCCAGCAACTTTTCCAGTGGCATCCTCTATACTGTTCTGCGTTTCTACACTGCTGTCTCTGTTTGTTTCCTTCACTTTACTTACTTGTATACTTTGATAAACTAACAACCAGACCTATGATTTTTTGTTGATAATCAAGAATATGCTACGAATTATGAATTTATGAGAATTTTTTAGCATTATCTATGCAATTTTATGCATACATACAGATTATATATATAGTTGAAATGAATGAAAAATATATTTGTTGTATTTCATGAATGAAGAGCACAGTATTTATATACAAATGTAACAGAATTGATACCTGGAGTTTTGGGATTAGGATCTATCTATCTAAGGAAAGTATACAACAAATCAGAAGAATATCAAGCTAATATCTCAACAAATCAGCCCCATTTTCAAATTGTATTTTGCAAAACACTGGAACTCTAGTAAATGCCGAAGTAGGATCCTCACATATCCAGATCAGATCACTAATAAATCTCAATCATAAATGCTATGATTCAAAATGGTAGGAACAAAGTCATAGTGACAAAAATCCATGAGCATTTCTTGTAACCAGATTGCAATAGCTTTCAAGACAAGCAGCTTAACTAAATACATAGCAACATCTTAACACTGCATGAATCAATATTAATTACATACCTTTTGGATTACACGACAGCCATACATCTGCAGACTTAAAGGCAGTATCTGACCGAGAAGTCTATTTGCAAGTTCCTTCCTCTGCTCAGGGCTTCCATACTCAAAAAACTATGTACAGGGAAAAATGCAAATTAAAGCATAACAGATTCAAGACAACCATTAAGTTAGTTAATAAAATGTACATTTCAAAACACACCTTCTGGATTACATAGTTGCCAAATACATCAGTCATTAGTTTAGAAGTATGTGGAAGAACCTCTTTGAACACTAGTTCCTTCTCTTCGACACCACAAATTTCCAACTTCTGCTGTATAAAACGGCTCCCATGCTGATCAGTGCTGGAGTTATAAACCATGGTGAACTTAATTTCCAAAGCCAAAAAATTGATAAAAGTGAAAGGGAGAACGATAATGAAAAGATTACTTGCCTAAATTCAACAATATGTCCAATAATATCAGACAGCTCAAATCTGCGACCCTTGCCAGATTTTAATTCTTCTAGAAAAATAACAACTTTGGGGTCATGAGCACTGTCAAAGCCTCTCTGACCTTGCCATCCAGACATTAAACCTCCATTTTTCCCAGAAGCTGGAGAGAGTTTCATTTCATTCCTTCCACCTAGAAGGCCAGGACTGCCTTCTGGGTATCCAGATAGAACAGGTCTCGAAAGTGGTGAACTTGGATACTGGGCTACAAAACCCATATTTGAAGGCTGTCCAAAATAACCTGGCATCATTAGCCCACCTCTATTAGAGTTCAAATTAGCACCACTTCTCTGATGATGTAATTTTTTGTCATCCAAGTACACACCACTATGGGGCCTTTTTTGGGAATCAAAGAGGCCAATTTGGCTACCAACACTTGCTCTAGGTGCCAGTGGATGACTAGAAACACCATATCCTTCCACAAAAGGTTGCTGATGATATTGCATGTAAAGTGGATCACTGAAAGAAGGATGAAGAGGAAATCCAAATTGTCCAAAAAACTTGTTTGAGTGTATCATCTCAGCTCCATGTGAAATGCTTCCTGCAGTAGAAACCCCTGCTGCTTGGGGAGTAAAACTAGAACCAGTAGCCCCATCAACAAGTGGTACAGCACCATGAGGAGGGTATGCAGCAATATATGGAGGAACAGCTGCGGCATTAAAAGGGTATCCACCTACGTATTGGGGAGAATATATCCCTGAAGCCTGCAAATTAGCATAAAATGGATTTGCTGAGGTCATATAAGCTGCTGCTGTAGCATATAGTGGTGGTGTAAACCCTGATGGCTGCAGTACTGGCTGGACATCAGACAAATTGTGATGGGGCTTGTGAAGAAACTGTTCCATACCAACATATGCACTTTTTTCATTTTGAGAATTGGTGCTAGGAACTTCACATGGATTGTTTTGTTGGTGATGTTGCGTCAAATTATTCTGGACGCAATTTTTCCATTTATCATCATAACTTTGGCTTTCTGAATTTGGTAGATTAGATACACTAAGAGCCCTTAATTGAGATTCCATGATTGTAACATCTAAATCACTAAAGCCCATGCTTCCAGTGAAGCTGAGAGGTGATGAACTTGTGACAGGGGCAGGGGAAACAACAGTTGATGTCAGCCTTAAATCATCTGCACCTATGGTAGGTTTTGCAGCATCTAGTGTGGCGATAGGAGAGTCATGAGAAGAACTGATCAGCTCATCCACAACTCCAAGAGATTTATTATATACAGGTGACATGGAAGGGGGAAGATCTTCCTGAAAGTTTGAATTTTAAAACAGAACAAAAAAATCATAAATTCACCATCAGTGAATTTGTCTGGAAGGGGAAACAAAATAAAAAAAGATAAAGTGATTGACTATTGTCAAATCATAAACTCAACCACTTACAAAAAAAGGAAAGTTATCACAAACTTGGGAATTAAGATCAGTACACACTACACAGTACCCATTACAGCAGCAGCAGGAAAGGGGCAAAAAAAAGGGAAATAAATGCAGCCGAAAGTAAAATCCTGACAAATAATTTTTTTTTAATTGATGTCACAGTAATCACCAGTACTAGATTTTTGAGCTGAGATGACGTTGAAGCTGCATCCTGTCTATGCCATTTTCCACTAGTCTTATCAAATTCATTATCATACAGCTGTTGAGTCGAATCATCCTCAGACTCCTCCTTGTGTGTTGCAAGAGTTCCTCGTGACAAATGAAAAGAACCTTTACTGCTATCATCTGCACAAGACAATCCCCATTTACTGTTAAAAGCCTAAAACTTCCAATCGATGCACCAGACAGGTCTTTTTACCATGATATAAGTGGAGGAGGAAGTTTAGTTTTTAAGTTGACATCAGAACATTAATATGCCTAATAAGCAACATCTAGTAATCTGCTTCAGACTCACATTTTTGCATAGCTCTGTTCTGCAATCCCAAACTCGCATTCCGGGTGGTGTTCTGGGATAGTAGATTTTCTATTGCCAGAAATGAGCCCTCCATGCTTGGAGGTGCACTGCCACTGCGATTGGGTACCACATCCTTTCCACTGCCTCGAAATCCATGGCCCTTCAAAAGTATCCCCAAATCCTCTGTTGCCATGTGATGGGAAGATGGTGAACCAAAAGTTGCAGCTTCCTTAAGAGACGGCCATTTCCCCCCAGCTTCAGAGATCCTGATTGGACTCTCGGTTGCCATAATACTGGAAAATTAGTTAACCCCTTCTTTTGTAATGAAAACACGAAATATCATATTGCCTCCTAAAGTGCACCAAAAAAGAGTTGCATCAGCGTAAACTTCTAGTGAGAGATAAATTTACAGCACAAGAAACAAAAACAGTAACGAAATAATATAGTGGCAAAAGGAGTAAAGCCATAATATAATACTTAACACAAATTTGCAGAGATATAATGCAAAATCTCGCATAACAATAAACAGAGTTAAATTATGATACTGTGTTGTTCCTTAAAGTCATAACAAGTTCACTGCTCAAAATTCCATTTCAAACTAAAAAGTTCTTCAACTTCATCAGCAACCAAACTAGAAACATGCCAGCCACGATCACGGAACGAGTATCATCACCAAGCACAACAAACAAATCAAAATACCTAGTATAATTTAACAATTTGTAATTTCATAATAAGAAAGGGAAAAAAAACAAACGAAATTCACAAAATACAAAAGAGAGAGAGAGAGAGAGAGAGAAAAAGTTAGTGCATGAAAATGGAGAAAGCACGAGAATAAAAAAGAAAGAGTAGTTGAAGCATGAAGAAAATGAACTAACGTTGGTTTTGGAGCATGTTCTTAAGGTGGTGAAGAATGAGAGAGTCTGAAACCCTAGATTCTTTTTGGAAGCAGGATTTGGAAAGAGAGAGGGAGATGAGGATGAGCGTGACTGAATTGATATGTAATGTTATGTTATAATTAATATTTGTTTATTTATAGTTGGTGTTATGGGTCAAATGCAGTGCAGTGCATGAGAAGAAGATTTTAAAAGTGCGTTTGTACTAAGTATGTACACGGAAAAAAAAGCGCTACTTCCAGCCTCCGTTTTGCTAAATTCTGTGTTGTGCTTTGCTTTGGGTGCTTGTGGACCGTCAGAATAGGACAAAGATGGAAATGAAGTGGCCAAATTAATCATTCCCGTAATAATACACATTACACTTACCATAGTCCATTATTTATATAATCTTTTAACTTTAAAAACATTAGTTAATAACATTATCTTTTTTATCAATGTTTTATTATTTTTCTTATCTCAATGCACAACTCCGTGCAACACGTGTAAATAGCATGCAACTTCCTCTCCTAGAGTTTCCACCTGCGGCTAGCACTGTTAAAGAGCTTCTGCATTTTTTTTCCCATGTGCCTTGCGAGTTTGAGTGCTTTACATTGTAAAAGATATTCTTTTTCGGCTTTCCACAAATTAAATTGAAATTTTCATGAGACTTGTTGTATTCTTCTGTTGTTTTCTATAATATTTGTATTTTATAAAAGAGTATTTCATAAAATAAGCAGTAAATAAAATAGTATATGTTCTAAAATATAAAAATTTATTTAACAATATTTTTATAAAAAAATATTAAATTTATAATATCTTTTTCTATATTTTAAAAGTGTTCTTCAATAATTGTTAATACTTTTTTTAATTAAAATTTATTTTTAAATAATATGAGAGATTAATACAAATAGTATATTTGCTATAGTCATCTAAAAAAGTAACTATTTGTTTAATTTAATTTATTAATAAGTTTATAAATAGATAATTTTTTACAAATTTAACCAAATGTATATTAAAATGTACAGATATTTTATTGAAACATAATATTAATGAAAAAAAACACAATGAATGTCTTTATTTTAGAGTCTTTTACATAAATAGAAGAAAATAAATTACATATTATGTAAATCTTCCACATTAAACATGTTTACATAAATATTTTTATTTTAATATAATAAAAGATGATTAAAATTTATTTTCGTGTAAAAGATAAGTTCCTTCGAACCATTAAAAAAAATCAATTATAATCAACTTTAATCTATGTAAAGAGATGTGTAAGAAATTGATTATAATAAACTTTAATTTACATATAAAAAATATATAAAAAGTCTAATACAACATATATAAAGTGTAATTTTTAGCTAACATTTTAGCTATTAAAGTTAAATTTTTTGGTTAAATAAATATGAACACCTTAGCAATAATAAGACACAGTCTAAAAGAATAAATACACTTAAATTTTTCATCACTTAGAGCCACAATTTCAACTTATCACACGAGTTCCCACAAAAAAGTAATGTTAAAGTGACTTAAGAATTAAAATTCATATAAGAAAGAGTGCAAGTTTTGTAAACTCTCCCTCGTACTTATTGAGACATCATATTGATTTTCACACAATTCTTAATGGTAAGACAATAGAGTTAGAGGAAATGTTGGAAGAAGTAACATGCATATAATTAAAGTCAATTACAACTATGTTTTCTCATCTACACTAAAGTCAATTATAATTATCGTTTTACTTATTATTCTTACATAAATCAAAATTAATTATAAGTAACTTCTCACACATATTCTTATGCAAACTAAAAAAAAAACTTATTTTTTGTATAAAAATTTGATTGTAATCAATTTCTATTATACTCAAATTAAAACATCTATGTTAACATAATTAACTTGAAAGATTTGTGTAATATGTAATTTAATTTATTTTATTTATGTAAAAGACCCTTATTTTATATTTTAGTTTCCATTTCAAAGAAGAGATTTTATGTTTATTTTAAGCTTTGAAATATTAATTTCTAGATAAAACAATATTACAAATGGGAGCCCTCTATCAAGAAAGTAAAATATTTAAAGGAGTTATTCCTTTCATAATTCAGTACTTGTATTTTTAAAATTAAATTTATATAAAAACGATATCTGAATTATGTTTTTTATATATAATAATTAACTTTTGTTAACTTTTTATTAAATTTGTTATAAATTATGTTAAATAATTTTTTTTTATTACTTTACACAAATTTTCAAATTCTTCATAAATTTTGTGTTCATGTTTATAAGATCCACTCATTACCTTATATAAATTTTTAAATTTCTATAAATATTATTATTCATATAAAAATTAACAATACTTAATTTTTTTAAATAAAATATGTTTTGAAATTACTGTATTTTATTAATTCTGTATTAATTTGGTAGATATTATTTAAAAAAAAATACTATATATATATATATATATATATATATTGTAAGACTATTAACTAGTTTATTTATAAATATATGTTTTTATTATTATTCTCACCATTTTATACTCATAAAATGAAGCAAATACAATTTATTTATGTAAAATAATTAAAGTTTAATACACAAACAATTTTAATAAATAATTAAAAATAATAAAATTAATAGTGAAAGTTGATGTAAGTGTCAAGTGATTTGATATTATATAAGCAAAATCTCGAATTCAGATTAAATTGTTTGGGATAAAAAAAAGAAGTAATGAAAATTTATCTATTTTTAACATGTTTTAATGTTAGTATCAAACATTCATAGTAAACTATACAAAAATATTAAGCATAAACTAAAATGTTTTTTAAACTATTTTTTTCTCCAAGACATACAACACTGCACATCATACAAGTTTATATCTAATATATTTTTATTTAAAATGAAATTTAACAATATTAATACATCAAAATTAATTTAAAATTTTTAAAATAAAACTACTATGTATGGATTTTTGTTATGTGCACTGTTCTGCCTAAAACGATAAAGATATTATTTCTGATAATTACATTTTTAAAATATTACATTTGAGAATGAAAAAACATTATTAAAAACAAACACAGCTATAGAAAAATAGTAGAAATGAACCATAAAATTGTAAGAACAACTTACACGACAACTCTAATACCAAGTTAGTAAGGTGTTTAATGAAAACTTGAAACTTAATTTTAGTGTGAATTAATTTTAAATTTAGAACTTATTTTTTAAATTAAGATTATTTTTCTTCACGTACTAAAAAATTCCTCATAAATTTATATATGTTTATGCCAAAGTTGGATAAAGTTTCATTTTGAGAAAAATTAAAAATCTGTAAGTTAATTTTAACTAACACAAATTTTAATATAATTTATCTCTTTAATACTCCTTTGGTTAGCATTCGAAATATGTAATTAGATAGAATTGATTTAAAGATAGTGGCCCATTTCCTGAAACAAGGCCCATTTTACTTAAAAAAAGAAAAAGAAGACGAAAGCAATGCAAGAAAGCCAACAAAATTCAAAGAACCCTAAACCTCTGCGGAGTTGTGGATGTTGATGCATGGCGGAAGTGAAGACTCTGGTAGTGAGGAAGCCCTGCTTTGGCCTTCCAACTGGTTGCCCTCAATGCCTTTCTGCTTACATATATCTCAACTTCGCTCAAATTCCCTTCCACTTGGATTTTCAGCTAAACAACCCTCATTCTGGTAATTAACACCCCATTTGCCCCTTTCTCAAATTCCCTTCTCATATCATAAAGTTTTATTTTTTTATCATTGTTTGCTTATTGCTATGCACTTCTTAATTGCCAATGTCTATCTTGTTTTTTTTCTGTCTTGTGGTGTTTTGTTTAGATAAAATTCCTTACTTTGAAGTTGGTGACTGTGTGGTGTATAATAATGAGAGAGAGGGGATCATTGACTGCTTGAAGAAAGATGCTGGTGTAGTTGATTTAGATAGTGAGGTTTCTTCACTCCCTGAATGGATATCAACCAAAGCAATTCTCACCACTTGGCTTGCTGATGCTCTTGCCTATGAACTCTGGGTGGGGTGTGAAGCTTCCTCTGCTAATAGCATCTATTATTCTGATCTTCCATGGCCATTAGGGAAGGTTCTCTTTTGGAATAAGGCTCGTTGGGTAAAGCTGAAACACGGGATAACGAATGACAATGTTGAAGTAAAGAAAGAAAAGGTCAGTTTCTCTTCATACATTATGTTTGATATTTTTTTACCTTGCATCGTAGTTTTATTGTTTTGTATGTCTTTCTCCTTGATTCGGTATTTATGTTTATCTATTAGTGATGGACAGATTTATGAGAAAGCAAACTCTGCATATGATGCCTTGTCAAATTGCTTAGGTGAACAAAATTACTTGTTTGAGAACAGGTGAGTCATCTGACTGAGTTGCATGTGAATTTGTCAACTTATCTTTTGTTTGAGCAGCAAATATGTGTATTCATGTGCTTTATTTGGTTCATGCAGACCATCAAGTTTGGATGCTATTTTTCTCGCGCATGGACTCGTTGTTATTCAAGCTTTACCTGTAAGTATTAGTTAACCATGATTATGATGTTTGTTTCAAGATATTTACATCTTATAAATACTCTAATGGCTGCTTTGGTTATACCAGTCAATTAAAATTGGACTTAGATAGTTATGGACTCATGGTTACATTTTACACTAGGGGAACAATCATGAAGTTGGTCAAATTCTCAGAATATGAATGTTTTCAGTGTCCTATTGAATGAAGCAATGTAGCGCATTAGCCAATAATTGGGTGAAATAGAGTGCACACAGAAACGGGATTATTTTAGCTGTTAGGGAACCCATTTAGGTAATAGCCGTACATGAAGCATTTCCAAATGGTTATCTGCCAAATTTTGGCTTGAGTGAAAGACCATTGACTAAGATTGTGCTGATGGAATTAGGGTTGATATTTAAAAGGTTTTATCCTAAAAAAAGAACAATGGTCTTGGATAACAGAAGTCCAAAACTGGGTAATAAACTGTCAGTCTGTCTGCCAACCTCAATTTCACCATTCTTTTTGAAACTGTTAAACCTAGATATTTTATGCTGTTGTCAGGTCCATTTGGAGGATCTTGTACTTTGCCTCTTTGGGGTGTGGAACATAAGAGAATGAATCAGTTACTAGAAATAAAAAATTAATTGTAATGAGGCATGCAAGATGGAAAATTTTCAACTTAGACTTGTTCTAACGAGATGACTGAGCAAATGAGATTGATTTAGGATTTCTAGTTTTCTTCCTATTGAGGAATATGTAATTTTTAAAACAATCAGATTTTGGGTAATACTTCCGAACAATGAGACTAATATTTGGTACTAAAGCGTTCTAAGCCGCTGTACTCAGTTGTTTTTGCATTCTTCTGTACATGAGATTCCTCACTTTTCTTCTTAATGAAGATCATAGATATATGGTTTTGTTTTATTTGCATGTAGTGTGCATACTTATTAGAATCACTTAGACATTCATTTTGAGAAAATTTTAACTTTAGATCCTTCATTGATGTACCATCAGGAATGCTCAATACTGCGGATAAAGTTTTTGGAACATGGTAATTTAGTTAGATATGTGCAACGGTGTAAGACAGAACTTATAGAAGCTGCTCCATCTCCTTCCTCTGGCCCACAATTTCATACTGATGCATCATCATCAGCTTCCAAAAGTCATTCAACCTGGAGTAAGATATTTTCTGGATTTTGTATATGCACACTTTTCTTTTAGTTTTGCTTGATGACTTTACCTGGACTAGCAAAGTGGTGCTTTTTTCCCCCTTTGAGGTTGGGGTGGGGTTGGGGGGGGCTGTGTGTGAGGGTATAGATAACTACAACAAAACCCTACTGTCCCCGATGATTCTGTTTGAAGGCAGTGGCTGGAATGTAGTATTGCTGGGATAGTACCATAAATCATTTATAGGACTTCTTAAACAACGAGTGAAGCCAAAGTCATATGCCAATCATGCATAAATTATTTTCTCTTCAAATTATAGTTTTATCATCAATTACTTAAATCCTTATTTTATTTGTACTGATGATTCTTTTAAAATTTAAAATATGATTTCATGTTAGTGAAAAAATAAATTCCACTCTTAGATAATAGTAAGTTGATCATCCTCATTTTATAATATAAATTAATTCAAATATCTATTATATCAGTGTATGAAGACATAAATGTTTGAATTTTAAATGTCGTTTCAAATATCTATTATATATCACTGCATCCAGAATATTACCTAGGACTAGAATCACACGAGTATTAAGCTAGTTTTGTCATAGTTGAGGTTAACTTGATTACTGATTCCGGAAGCTTAAATTTGTAACTCTGTTACTCCATCATGCGCTTTGCATAATAATTATAACTAGAAGTAAGGGCTCATGGTAGTTGCCTCCTAATTCCTGAATTTTGGCGTGTTTTTGAAAGTTCTCCATGTCACCGGTCATGTGGATAATAGAACCATACAACCTTCTGAACAGTTTGCATTCAAAATATAGAAGAGTATGTGTGATTTCGGTTTAGAACACTAAATTTAATTGTGAAATAGTTTCCATTTGTGGTACACTGGCACTTATAACTTCTTTGATAATTTTTATTTATTTATCAGAATGTACTAATGTGAGAAATGTATGTTTGCTATTATTAATTTTTTGTCAAAATATATTTTCTCTTTCAAACTCATGTTCCTCTTCATGAAGTTTGATTTGTCATTTTTTTTATTAGATTCAAAGCCTAAGAACAAAACCAAAAGGGAGAAAACAAAGGAGGAGAAAACATTCAAAAGGAAGGCCAAATATTTTGTGGTAGCACAGTTGGTTGCAGTTGTTGTTTTCCTCACGCTTATGACTACATTTGATGATACTGAAGTGGACGTAGATGATGCTGATGGTGGTTATGATTATGATGAATGAAAATACATTCCTTTATTTATCTTCCTCTCAATTGCAAAGCCAAGGTTGCCAACCTGATAAAAACAAGTGTCTCCTTTACTTGTTACGATGCAAAATTGGAAAATTACATTCATTCTAAATAACTAATCATAAGATCCATTTTTGTATACACGAGTTCTATAAATAGATTGATCATTGGAATATGTTCTTTTATTGCTGGATTTATTGTGCAAATTTGCTTTTTTAATCAAACTATAATCTCAAATTATTTAAGCAAGATGGTTAATTGTAGAAAAATTGCATGCTGTAAATTCCTCGAGTCCAAACAGTGAAAAGGTCAAAATTCGTATTATTATGTGTGACATGTAAAATAGCAGCCGTAATTTTTTTTAAAATAGTCTTAATCTAACCCCTGAAGTTAAAAGGGTCTGACATGATTATAGTGAGGTTCTTTTTTGTCCAAAACCTAGCAACTAAAAGTCAGTTGGAGTCAGTGCTAATTTCAGTTAAATTTGGTGAATTTATTTTAGGAGACAGTTCTTCTGATGCCCATTTTTACAAAATACATTAACTCAACTTTTCTGAAGAGAAACAAAACTAGTTGTTAATTGGACCAAGCTGACAGTTAACCCCATCCAAATTAATATAATTTCTCCTTTATGTGCTCATTTGGAAACAGATAAAATGAAAAATACGAACCAGGGAAGAAAACAGAAGAAAATTAAGGGAAAGGAAAGGATGATGGAAATTAAGTAACAAGTTTCCTTTTCCCGTGTTTGAGTACTTACGATCCCCATTTCTAAACAAGTTCATGGTATCCCTCAGCATAATCAACAGCAAACTTTGCCATTGAGCATTACATGAAGATTCCTTATCTCCCTCCCCTCATTATAAACAATTCTCCAACAAGGGTGAGAGATTGGCATAAAATCTTTCCCTCCCCCCTTCCATTTTCCTTAATCTAAAACTACCCTAAAAAAAATCACATTCATTCTAAACTAAATAAATAAGCCAAAAAATGTGATATGTCTAAGTTCCAGTCCCACAAGAAATGTGCTGCAAGTTAACATTCTCCCATTTCTTAACGAGTTCATTGTATCCCTCAGCATAATCAACAGCAAACTCTGCCATTGAGCTCATAGCAGTTGACATACCAGCACAAAGTACCTTAATAGCAACATCAACCAATTTCTCAGTAGTCATTACCTCTTCTACTTCACCACCAACTTCCACCATTTGCATATTATCATTTGATCCAACTTGATTTCTTCGAGAATCTTCCCTTAGCTGTTGTGCATGAAGGGACCCTATACCAGCTGCAAAAAGGTCTATGGCATCAAGCACTGCTGTTTCTTGGATGGCATCTAGACGCCTTGACCACTGAACACAGAGTCCAAATAATGGGTGTGTGCCACTGGACCTACGAGGAGAGCATGCTAACTTTGATGGATCAGGCTCACATGTAACACATCTTAGAAGCCATCCAGTTAGAGCATGAATATAGGATCTTTGAGATGTGATCCACGACTCAAAGGTGTTTCGCCAATTTCTCAATTCAGTTTCAAGATTGGAGGAAGAACGAGCAAGCCTTTGTGGATCAGTTATTGATCTGGCGCACTGTTTTCTGGCATCTGTGTAAGCTAGAAGAATCTTAGCTTCATCTAAAGTTCTCTTTTGTGTCTCATGACATTCTGCCATCACTTTCCACATCTTTGCCAGCCTGTGGTTTTTTAGTATTAGCAAGCATAATATTTTATTTATAATCACATGCTGTGATGGTGTAACATTTTTCTTTTGATACCTAGACTTTCAAATTTAAGAACACGCATAACTGATTACTGAAGGTGTAATTTTATTAAGACAGGAAAGGCATGATAAAAAAAAAAATTCAATATAATTCAAGGCGTTGATACTATAAAAAGTAGAAACTAACTATTTATTGATTAATTACGTGCAAATTTACACAAGTTAGAAAAATCGCTGTCTTATTATTACCAAACAAAGAATAGCATTATAAGCATAGAGAAGGGGCATGAAGAATAAAATGGAGTATTAGCTGAATGTTTGAAGTATGAAAGTGAAAATACATTAATTTATGGCATAAGTTTCACAGTTCATAAAAAAAATAAAGTTGAATAGGAATAATGATTTTTCATACTTACCCTTGCATTAATTGATGAAGCTGGGGATGCAACTCTTCATCCCTTAGAGTTTCAATTCTCCGGGAAATAGCTTCAACTGAGTGTATTGAAACTGTTAGTTGGGTCTGAAGATCTCTAATGGTTGCTCTTGTTTTATCCACATAAGAGGGTTCCTCTCCATTCACATCATGGTTCCTGAGTTGCTGACATTTCTTCTCATATGCAATTCGAACACGTTCTCCAGACTGTTGAAGAGGAAAGTGGGCAAAGGATTAAGTTTTCCATTATTAAACTGTATGCAATCATTAGGACAATGACCTGTAATAATAATAATAATCTAATAAAATTTAAAGAAATGAGAGATTGAGAAAAATCACTGAACTAAATTTGTGCCTTTTCCAAACCCCTATTAAATCTCAAATTGAAAGATGTATATTCGTCAGTCTGAAGCATTATGATTTTTAATATTATCTAGAAGCTAAACCTCCTAAGATAATCACAAGCACTTTGACATATTATTTTGGTGGAATAGTACTAACTTTAAGCGTGTGCAGTTTTCAAATGTGAATTGATAAACCTCATAAGTGCATACTAATTTTGTTCATCCCTAAGTGATTGTTTACATAGCAGCTTACTGCAATGATAGAATTGAACAATGACAAACCAAGGGTTTAGCAAGTTTTTATTGATGACCAGATGGAAGAGTTGTAAGTTCCAATAGACTATATTTCAAGCAGCAACTATCTGTAACAGAGCATGTCATCTGAAAGAAGTTTATTCAAATACTTTTATAATGCATTTAATAGTTCATGGGCAGAAGTTCAGTAACAAATGTACCTAAAAGAAAAAAGGTTCAGTAATATACCTTGACTTCCTCATAGAGCTTCTTTTCCCAAGCATATAATCTGTCTAGTGTAGATTGATGACTAACAGCAAACGAACAATTTTCTTCTGACAGATCATCAGTGCCTTCAAATCCTTCATCCCCCGTGCTTGAAGAATTCATTAAAAATCTTGATGAGGATGAGTGTGAAGAAGCTGAGCGGAACAAAGCTACAGGGTTTAACAACTTTGATGCTGCAAAACAAAAAAAATAAATTCTAAATTTACAGGAGAAAGAAAAATGATGTGCTAAAATAAAATGAAAACTTGGGAACTAGTAAGATTGTTTCTGTATACAAGACAAACAATTTTTCTTTAGTGTAGATTGACTTTGGAAAGGGGAAGTAAGAAATAAAAAAAATGCTTTGGCCAAATGAACATTGCTAAGTTCTTGTTCTTACAGTAACCAAAAAACATGAATGTTATTCTTGAAATTTGAGGCTTAACTCACAATTATGAACACTACGAAATCCAAGAACACTTTCAACAAAGTGAAAATTTAAATATCATGCTTCTATCAAACCTGACAGCTCATTAGATGTTGATAAATACTGCGCTTTCTTGGCCTCTAACAGTGATGATAGATCATTGGCTGCATTGCAGACTATTGTGAATTGAGCATCAAGATCTCTGATCACTTCAGCCATGCTTGTTGGCCTTCTGTTTACATAAACAGTAAAACCAGGTGTTTCTTCCTGAGCTTCTTGATTACCAACTTCCAATTCCTGACCCGTAGTTTGAGCTTTTGATACTTGAAAACATTCACTTCCATTGGCTTGCGAGTCTGAGACTTCATGTGCAGTTCTTGTTTCAACAACATCTGTTCCCTCCTCTTCCTCCTCCTCCTCCTCCTCATTAACATCTTCAACCATGACTTCTTCTTTGGAGGAGTTTATATCAATTTTGGTTCTTTCTTCGGCTACATTTCTCTTGTCAGCAATGTCTTCTTGTTCAGTTTCATCTTCTTCCAGGTCTGGTATTCCTTCTTGTTCTCTGACCTGCCTCAGTCCTCTGATCTCATCATCCATAACAGTGTGGTCAAGGCTACTTCTGGTGGGGTAACCATAATAGTCTAATGATGAAAATGGGTTCCAGAAGGATTCCCATTGAGTAGATTGAGGTGAAGGGGGAGGGATATTAGGCCTGTTTATGGGAGAATAAGCAAAAATTGAGGGATTCATAGGTGAGGATTGCATATTATAAAAGCCATCAATGCCAAACTGGTGCATGGGAAAATAATTCATTTCAACTCGAACCGTTTCCGGTGATTGAGGCCTTTCCTCAACTGAAATTGCTGGATTACCACCTGGCCTTAGGTAATTCACTTTCAGAGTTGTTTTGGGTCCAAACTCAATTGTTGTTGGGGTGAAGGATTTTGATGATATGGGAATGAAGGTAGTGGCAGGAGTAGTAGTTTTCTTGACAGGAGTGAAAGGTGGGGTTACGATTGAATCCAATGAGAACTCATGACACTCATCACCTTCAAAGTAATCACAAAGAGCAGCTGAAACCCTTCTCAAAGATTGGATGTATGCTACATGTCCACTAGCAAATAGAGTTCTTTGCTCAACAGCTTGTTTAATGAATCTCTTTCTATCTTTACAAAGTTTCACTGCTTCTTCATCATCCAACCTTGATTGAGAACATCCCATCTCTTACTATTCCTTTCCTATGAATATCTTAGACTTGCATTGAAATGGATATCAAATCACAGTCCTTTATTTATCAAAGATATGTCTGCAGAAACAGGAAATTTCAGTATATAAGGATCTTACTAACAAATACTCTACGAACACTAATTAAGAAATAAAAACATATATATATATATAAAATTAAATTCAAAATATATTAAAAATCACAATAGAAATGAGCGTTTAATCATATGTTTAATTAAAAAAATTACTTTTATTTGTTTATATCATAGGTTAGCATTTATCACATAATTAAAATTGCATTATAGGGAGCAAAATAAAGGGTAAATTCAACAATATTTTAAACCAAAGAAATGTATGAATACTAATAAAGTTGGATGCTTTTCTTTGTTTTCAAGTATGGGAAGGGTAGTGAAAATAGAGACTTGATCGAGAGAAACAAGTAAGGGAGATTCCGGAATGCAGAAGACCAAACTATGATCCATCACAATGCGAAGACATTAAGAAAGCATAGAACTTTTCATCCGGGAATTTTTCATTTTGGCAAAGATGAAAAACAACCACCCGAAATCTCCAAAAAGAAATGAAAATAATAAAATGTAAACAATTGTGGCAGTCCTGGGTAAGCTAAACTAGCTGAAGAAGAAGAAAATGCAGAAAGAGGGTTTGATTAAGAAAAAGAATGAAGATGAACAGTGAGAAACGTAACTGGGAATGGGGGCGGGAACTGAATGGAGCTTTGATATCCGAAACAGAGGAGCAGAGAGAGAGAGAGAGAGAGAGACGTTGAGGAAAAGTAACGGTCAAAACACAGAACGCGAAGAAAGAGAAAGAAACAGCGTGGGAACAAAAAAAGACACAATTTGAAAAACACACCATTGCCCTTCATGTTCCCCTCAATTTCTTCACTGCCACGTTTCGTTGGGCTAATTTATTTTTTTTTTCATCGAAAGACTTTCCCAATTTGTATTTTAAATTAAAAATTTCCAGTTAGAGAAAAACTGTACAATTTTTTCTCATTTAGAATTTATATATACACATGTAAATCCCATTTTAATTTTTTTATGTATAAATAGTGGCTTATATAAAAAAATTCTCTCTTTTTAATATTTTCTCTTTCTTTATATTAATAACTATAATCATATAACTTATGTAACAATTATTTATTTAAAAGTAAGTTTCACTAAAGTTGCTCTAGGTATTCATTTTGACTAATTAAATATCAAGTTGGTATTCCAAAATTCACAAAGCGGGGTTGGTATTTATTGTTAAAGTGAAAATTTAATTAACATTTTTTTAAACTCATAATATTTGTTTTAAACCTTTTTTTTTCTGAAAAAAAAGGTGAATGCAAATAACATTTTTGAAAAGGAGAAACCAAGGGGAAAGATGAACGCTCCTTTCCCTCGTGCCCATGTTTGGTTTGTGCTGTAATTTGTAGTGAAGACGAGTAGAATTTGGTACTTTCACTACACGTGTTTTAGATTAAGATCTTAGAAAACAGAAAAGAAAATTAGTAAAGAATTTAGAAAAGCAAAAAGGTAAAGTGGGATGGGCGTTAAAGAAAGAGAAAATGTTTTTTTTTTGGGTCAATGAAAGAGAAACTGGTTTAAACTGGACCCACTGGACGCTTTCTCGAAAAGGCCCAGTTAGCAAATGCTCATGTATTCATCCTCATTTCATCATGTTAAAAAATTGGAGAAAAATTTTGCAGTTCACCAATTTTAAGTATAAGTATTTAATTAATTATTTGTTTCTATTTTTTAGAATGAGTTTAAATTACTGTTTATAAAATTTTTTATAAAAAATAATTAAAAAACATTTTTAAATATATCATTGTCAATAGAAATACATAAACACCATTAAAGTAATATTTTAATGATAAACCATAGAGATATTATAAAAGTAACAAAATGTTAGGAGCAAACATTTTTTCAAGCATAAGCCGAACAGTTTGAAATGAAACACGATAAAATAAGATATAATAAAAATGCACTTTATTTTATGCTTTTACTTTTAAACCAAATATGCTCTAAGCTAATTGAAAAGGGGTCCTTTCCATTTTTGAAAAATGGACAAAATCCTGCCCATTAAAAATGTTGAAAGCATTAATATTTTTTCAAAAAAGTTGTATTGTAATAACTTTAATAGTTGAATCAACAAATACACAAGGAAAATAGATAAAAAAATAAAATAAAATTGAAGAGAATATTAACCCAAGCTAATTACATAAATTTTTTATAATTTAAAATGACAAAATGTCAAATTGTTGACTACATTCAAATACGCATAATTTATCTTCTTTCTGCCTTCCAAGCATCAACATCATTGTCTCAATTTATAACCCTTTAACATACAAAATTTCGTCGTCAACCAATCATTTTTCTTGTTCTTATATATGAAAATCACTCAAAACTATTATTAAATTCATTTATCATTTTTCGGTCAACGTAACATAACGACAACGATTCTATATAACGTCACACGTAGATCGATCACATGAAACGTTGTAAACTATAAATATTATTATTCTCAGATTCTAGTTAAGCGAATACTTTTTTTTTCGAAGTATGTTCTGTAATGATTAAAGGATTAAAATAAAGATTGTTCGCAAAAACTATTAAAATGCTAATAGAAGGAGCAAAATTAACTTGAACCTAACGTGAACATCTTAATGAGTGTACGATCTTATTCTATTTAAATTTTAAATTTTGGAGGACCTATGCTTACCATTTTTTTTTCTGTGAGCTGTTGAATTATTATTATTATTATTATTATTATAAGATTTAATAAAGAGGTTAGCTTTAAGAGATCATAATGACAAGGTAAATCGCAAAATTCTTAATTAATTAAAAGGAGCGCTGTGCTATTCCATCAATTAATGTTGAAAGTGCATTTTAAGTGTATATTTACATAATTAGACTTGAAATTTGGTAAGTAAATTGTAGACTAAATATTGTTGATCCGATATCAAATTAATAAATGTGTTTCATTCCTTTTCTGTTTTCATTTTTTATTATTATTATAAAAGTTATGAGATAAATTTTATTTTTTTATATTGTTGTGAAAAATATAAGGGTCATTGATCAAAATAAAATTTCTATTTTTATTGTAACGATGTAAATTTAATTTAAATTTTTTATTATTTTTATTCTGAATAAGGGTTATTACTTTTTTTGTGATTAACCTAATTTTTCAATCCTTTACAAGGCTATAACACCTACATCTCAGTCTCATGATAATTCTTGTGGGTTATTGATTAAAACTTGGAAGTCACCGTGAAAGAGATAATTTTTGCATGACTGCTTTATAAAAACCTACTTCAAGCAACTTTTTAATAAGAATTAAAAAAACTATTATATGATTTTTAATATTAATAATAAATATTATATTATATTGCATAGCACTAAATTAAATAGATAATATTATAAAATTTAAAAATAGATTATGAAAAATTCAAATTTAAATCTTAAATTATCATTGAATTTTAAAAATAATAAATTAAGAAAAGTTATATGACATAATAAGAAAAAAAATTATTTTTCAAATCACTCTCATATAATTTCTAAAAATGCTCTCATTTGAGAATAAACATTTATATTTATTATATTTATTTAATTATTGTCATCTTATTAAATTAACAAATTATTTTTAATACTTATTTTCTCAAAATTTGATATTTATTTTCTAATAGTATAAATAAAAGAGATATTAATTAATATAATATGTAAATAGTATAATAGGAAGTTAAGTAATATTTTTTATAAATTTAAAATAATAAACAGTCTTTCAAATTTTTAATCAAAGCTTAAACATTAAAAGGTATGTTTGGATAAACATAATTCTAAATTTTTAATTACATTTATTGAAATAAGAAGGAAAATGTATTAAAAATATTTTTAAATTTAAACTAAATTTTTTATTTTAATAATAAATTTTAAATAACATATTTTTAAAGATTATTTGTTTATATATAGTATTTAAAAATTATATATACTAAAATATAGTATTTTTAAAAAATTATGAAAATATAAAATTTAATAATAGTCAATGACGAGTTTTTTTGTAAATACAAAAGTCATAGATAAAAAATCAGAAAAGTGGTAAAATTTAAAAAATCGTTATTAATAATTTTCAAAAAAATATTAAAATAATAAAAAATTACAAAAAAGGTCAAAAGTCTTTGTTGACGATTTTTGAAAAAAATTATATTTATGTAGTTTTGTCAAAATTTTCATATTTCAATAATTTAAAGAAGAAAACCACATAAAAAAGCCTATTTTTAAAGATAATTTATTTATTTTTATCATACATAACTTTTTATAAATATCAATCATAACTACTTTTATACTTAACTGTTGAGACATAACCAATTTATGTATATGTGTTTAAAATCATCAAAATGTTTATTGAAAAAATATAAATTAATTTGCTTGTTTAAACAGATAAACGTGAGAGATAATTTGGTTAACTGGTATACTTGATTCTGAATTCCTTAAGATGACACTTTTTATTCATACTAATCAACATTATTATTACGAAGACGACGAAGATGATTCACAAAAAGAATAAAATTGCAGATTCACACTCAATAAGATTGCTGATTAGTAACAGGAAGAGATAAAAGGGATTTTAGACCACAAAATCCAAAACCAAAAGTCGACTACTTTCACATTCCATTCCACCTAAGAAAGCAGGGCAGTTAAGCATTTAATTAAATACAGCCTGCGTGCATAAATAAATTGTTCTTTAATTGCTTTTTGCTTTAAATTGAAAATGGCAGTTTATGAAGGAAAGGGCCAATTAACCCTTCTCATCAATCAAAGGTTTCAAATTTTGGTTTTGGCAATGTATATTATTCACATATTTGATCTGAAGATAATGATTGAGAAGTCAAAGTAATGTTTCGTTTAAAATGGGAAATGGTAGCTTTGTTGTCCAACAAATTATCGATGGAAAGGTGATTCAGCAAAATCCACCATATTACGTGATGTGCCTTT